TAAGAGTATGATTTCACCTGAGATTAAAAAGTAAAGACCAGTTTTTTTTTTTTATCGATTTCTTGCTTAGTCCTAATCTCTAAAAACGTGACTACGGGTGACTTTACAGCAAGAATTGCGAATATTTTGCTCAAGTAAATATGTCCTCACAAGTGATGTTAATTGATTCGATTTGTTTTAAACATCCTTGAAACATATTATTATACAATAGCAATTTAAGTATTTTTTATAATTATGAAATTAGGATTTATTTTTTTTTGGAATTTATATTGAATGAAAATTTGTATTACTTTTTTTTTTTTATAGTTTTATTTTAATGGAAAATGATCATTAAGTTCTAAGCACTTCTTGAAAGTGCAGTACTCGTTATCATGTATTAGGATTAATAAGGTCTTCATATTTTTTTTTGTTGGATCTTTAAATGCTTAACTTTTGGGTCTTTTGTTTCCCATTTCGAAAAGCTGCTTTTATTGTTTTTACAGTTTTCTTTTCCTATTATTGTGAACGCTTCATTCATTAGTACTATTATTATTTTTTTTTTTGCGTTATTCATTTAACTATTATCCTCAAACGTATCTCATACAAATCCTACTGCACTGTATATGTTTGTCAAATAAAAGTAATATATCACTATTCCTAAATTTACTGTCCATAATAATTCTAAAATAAAAATTAATTTAATAATAATATGTTAAATTTATTTGATTAATATCTACGTAGTATTTGTATAAAAATAAGTGATAATAAATGGTGAACGTTCACCAGAATATGAAAAGAAAATTACAAAACAATAAAATCAGCATAAAAGCCGGAACTAATTGTTTCGAATAAAGCATTATAGAAAAAAAAACTGAAGGCCTTATTAATACTTTATTTCCTTCATTTTCGCAAAAATACTTAATTTCACATTGGCCTTTTTCAAAAGGGTATTCTTTTGAGAATTTTTTTTTTTTTTAAACATATTATGATTTTAGTGGTTATTATCTTTTATGTGAACAGCATAAAATCGTACCGGTTTTTTTTTATGAGTTTTAGAAAGTGGAGCGAATTCTTCCAACCTACTAATAAACTTTCCTCCTCATTTAACTAAAAATAATTAACAACACACAAAAATATTATAACGATGTAAGTAATGATTATGATGTTAATTACATAAATAAAAAAATAAACAGTGAAAAAAGATTAAAAGGAAATTAAAAACCGAAATATAATGCTATTTTAGAAAATTACATTTTTTTGAAAATGCGAAAACTACAATATAAAATAAGATAGTAAAAAATATACATATATATTCAAGAATCTGAGATTGAGTTGGTGTTTATGAAAACATTTTTTTAAAAATAATTTTGTTTATGTTCATGCATGGTTTGAATGAGATCTTAGTTCGTAAATGGTAGTATTTTTTCTGTTTTTTTTTTATCATATTGATTCAACATAATTCCTTTTAATAAAAATGATGATTTAATGTGTACTCACCTAAGACAGACAGTGTAGTTTTATCAGTAATGATCCTCAACCCCGTTTAACAACGCAATTTTTATTTTTCATTAAATACAAATCAATGCGTTCCTCGCGTAGCTTTAATTCGATGGGAAAGTGTCGCTACAAAACAGATGTCGACCGATCCGGAGCATATACCGGCTCGAAACTGATTTGCATTGAACAAATATCGCTTCTCGTCGAATATGAAAGGTGAACGCGGAGCAAACAGGAAACTAGCAATGACAAACCATTATCCCCCTCCTCCTCCAATAAAAATAGATTGTTTAAAACTAGCACTTATGTTTACTTAGTCTCATTAACCTATAACTGCATTCCTTTGTGGAAATTTTTTTATTAAAACCTACATTGTTTTTTTTTACATCTCTTCGCCTCGTCATTATTCTAGACAAAATATTATACCATGCCTCTTTTATTTACCATTAATCATTTCTATTGTTCTCATATCTAAAAATACCTCCTTACATTAGAAAATAAGGCCGTAGGAAGAAAGAAGTATAGATAACATAGGCTCTTACATGTCTTACTTGTTTGTTTGAAGCTCGTGCCTCGTGCTAGAACTTAAGCAAGTTCGGATCCGGCTTACAATGTTCTACTGCAACACAAGTAACCTCTTGCACCGATCAACTGAAGGATAAACCAACATCAACGTGATGATGATTTTATGATTTACTGCACTTTTACATATTTTATGTTTGAGCTGACAGATGTGGTTTTTCCTTAGTTCATACCTGGTTCGTGACTCATGCATGATAATGTTATGTGAAACACCTCCGATAGCAGCCTGTGTTATTGAAGCATATAATCACAATATCGTTATAAAAAAAAAGTAAATAATCATATAAAAAAAAAAATGCACTTATCTACACAGAAACAACTATTATCCATACTGATGATTTTTTTCCGATAAATTCTTATCACAAACTAAACTTATAAGGAATACAGTACTCATTTTTAATTAAAATATATAATTATGTTAATTATTCGTCAAGGTTGTACGTTTCTTATGTCATTAGTAAAACGTGGACTGTTTTTGTTCAATTGAATGTATACCAACTCCTATCCAATTAATAATTTAAGGTATGATCATCAAAACGTAAACGCACACGTTCAAGCAATAAGATGGAAAATAAGAAAACCAGATTTGTTTACAGCATAAATATCATAAATATTTTAGTTTAGGTCTACAAAAGGATATCCTTTAACTGCGTATTCAACCCTTTGTTATTAAAATAACAACCAACTTATCTATTCTCGTGATAAAAATAATGTATGATAAATATATATATTTAAAAAAAAAAAGGTTTGAGCGTTATCTTCCAGCCTGACCACAAGTATCTCGCTTAGGTTGTTACCTTTATTTATGTAAACATTAAAAAAAGTTATATACATACATATACTCCCCTTAATCAAAATTAGAAAATATTGGGTTGGCAATTAAGTTCTTTCGGCAATTTATTTTACATCAAATTAAGGTTTCCTACATAGAATCTCATAGAAACCCATTAAATAAAAAAAAAACTAAACCTGGAAAACTCGCAATTTACCCGTTTTAAAGCAATAGTTAACGTATCAGAGACAGTAAAGACTTTATAAGTAATACTTTTATTGATAATGTCTGTTGCAAATGGCATCTAGCATACAGAAATATACTATAAATATATGGCTTGACTACAAAAGTTCACTTCAGGTCTCCTGGCAAAAGTGTGACTTCAAGAATGTAACTGCAATTTGTTCTGAGGAGCATGGGGGTAATATACCCAGGAATAGTAGAGGGGTGAAGGAATTCTGGGAAGTCTAAGGAGCCTGGGAAAGGGCTTCAAATGAAGTTATTAATAATTGATATTCTTAAGATGTATAAGGGAAAGGGCTGGAGCTATTAATTATTGAGAATTGATATCCTTATCCTTTAGTATTGATCTGAGATCCGTGAGAAAGGGCCTTTTGCTAAAATCTTTTATTGTTCCCAAAGTCTTGATAATGGTCTTGTTGTGTCCAGTCGGTGCCTTATAGATAACTACTTCTAAGCTGTCAGAGATAGCTTGCCTGGCTATCTAGGGTTAGCTTTGTCTTTTATCCTTTGAGTTATGGAAATTTTTAATACAATGCATGATTCACCGATTGGTATATTTATCAAACTCAATTATTAAAATAAAGATTAAATTAATATTATTATTTGTTATGGATTAAGTCCGTAACTGATGAAGACTTCTTATTTCGATCACATTATGTTACGGTGGTTATATAAATGTGAACCCAAATGTAAGGAATCAAATCACATTTATGATGTAAGCTTGTTATGATGGTAGTTAAATAATATTGATTAAAATGTTTCTTTTTTTAATATATATGTTTTATTTGTTATTAAAATAATTGGATAGCATTCTTTCATTAGTCAATGAATGAAGTTTGAAATTTCCTAAATGATTTTTGAATGTAGAATATTAACTTTCTAAAAAAAAAATCTTTATTTATGAGAAGTATATCTATTGAAAGAATGTTCTTCAAATGGTTTCTGGATGTTGTGTTATTGATTGGTTTTTGTGGATTTTAGCGTTTGGAAACTATTTTTCAGGCTTTAGTTCTGTTTGCCGATGCAGCTTCCTTTTTGGGAGGAAGTGAGCCCTAAAACTTAGGCCGAAACGTTGGCATAAAGGAAAGAAAATATTTTCTACATTAATTTTTCACTGTTACTGCCTATTAATTTCTACACAGCCTAATTTCTCCTAAAATGAATTACTATTGATACTGTAAAGACTATACGCACGCTCTAAGTTTCCAATTAATTACAAAAGACTCGTATATATGCCTATTTGGACTTAAGGAGTTGAGCTTTGGGGCTCTACTAAACCATCGAATTACCCTCGTTTCCAATCCTCACAATCTAAAATCCTTCTTAAAATTCTCAATGCTTCTTACTTTTTCAGAAACAAAATCGTCCATAAAGACCTTAATGTTCCACATGTTTCCGATTTGGCCAAATCCAGATACCTATTTTTCCTTAATAATCTTCAGAACCATCCGAATCCTTTCTTTTATAACAGTCGGAAAAGAAGATGACATCGTGATCTCCTGTGAAAATGTGAGTATAATTTTAGAGTTCTACCGGTACTACCGGTGCAAGCGGGTAGTTTCACAAAAAGTGTTTTCAAATGATTATATTCCTGTGTTCACATTTACTGGATATTTTTTTATTTTTAATACAGTTGTAAATATCGTGAATACAAAAAAAAGGTAGTTAGTTTCCTTTTAAGAAAGTACGTATTGTTCTATTTTACACACTCTTATCTATAGTACACAATAAATCCGGTGAAATGTATTGTAATTTTAGAAAAATTAAAAAATAACAAAATAAAGTTGGCACTAAGTCTGGCATGATTTGCCATTTGATAAACAAATATATCTTTGTTTGTAACCAATAAATATTTGACTTAGAAATGTATTATATAGTCAAATATTTAAATATGTTTGTATTTTATTGCTTGTTATCCTTACTATAGCTACGGAGGAGGTACCCACCCCTGGCCTAGAGGAAGCGGGACAGAACCGTCTACTGAAGATGGTATGATAGAAGTGGTTGGGTTGACCACATTCCAGTTGGTTAGTAAAACATTTCATTATTATTGTTACTATTACAAATAAAATAAAATAATGATATGATGAACGTCACACATGTGAGCCAGTGTTAAATAGTTAAGATTTTACAAATGGAAAACCATTTTCGCAAAGACCTACTTTTGAATGAGAGAATAAGGAATGGATCTGTATTTTAGAACAAAATAAAATAATAAATAAATTAAAAATATAGAATTAAGAATATATATATATATATATATATATATATATGTGTACTAACCTAATAGGTATAATATTAAGATATTAATGCACGTTAATAAAAGTTTGTTTATACAAAAACAAAAAGTATGTATTCTTTACATGTATGCGGAAGATCAGTAATTGAGGAAGTGGAAAAATAAATGGTGTTTGATTGAGATGAGGGAGGGAGGTTTACGAAAGAATATGGGTGCGTAATTCCAAACTAGGTAACACGAATAATAAAGGATGGAATGTTGGATTAATATTCAATATAATATTCAAGGAAAGATGGAATAATATTCAATGGAAGTTGTTCCATGCGAAGGGATGTACATATTCTTTGTTTGAAATGTCGTATTTAAAAGGCAAAAAGCAAAATTTTCGCTTCCTGTGATATTGTACATTTAATCAGTTCCTAATCTTGATATGATGTAAGCGAAATCGATTAAAATATTTTTAACTATGTCTCTGCATTATCAATCTTTGACTAGATAAATCTATAAAAGTTCAATCATTCAACTGATATACTTACTCATTTTTTTATCTATGACTATCAATATTTTAAAACGTGATAAACAGTTTTATTTTAATTTAAATTCTTTTAAACAAATATTCTAAGAATAAAGAACAAAATATTTTTTTTACATTGTTGCTCTAAATTATGAATTGCTATTTATATCAGGTTGTTTATGCTAAATAATAAATGTTAAATGAGTATTGGAAGTATTTCACTTAAAATAAATATTTAAAAATATTCGCGGTAGATATCAATAGCTTGTTTAAAATTCATGTCTTGTAGTTTGTATTGTAAACATTACATTATTCAGACATTGTACAACCTGTTTCATAAAGACATATTATAAATTCATTAATTTTATATTATAATATAAATATATAAAGTTACATGCATGTAATAATAAAAAATATTTTTATGTTTTAAAACTTAGCAAATTAAACTCGTAATATATGTATAATTTGGTCACTATAGACAATTAAATTTTGTTTAGTAAAAAACTTGATCGATACTAACTCCAAAACGCAAGTAAAAACGAATTAAATAAATAAAAATTAATGGTAGTTACTCTAAATTCAATGTTTCCACGCGTTAAATGCTCAATAACTTCCGTTTTAAAACTGTTTCTAAAAGTTCAAACCTTTATTAACAGTAGGGTCTATGTAGTTTTTCGGGCGATTTCGGGAGATTAGCGAAATGGACCAAAATTGCTTGCAGCTGTTTGAAACGTCGTAACAACTATGTTTATTTATAAAAACCGACGTTTCAGCTATCTTAGGATTCACTTGAAGTAACTTATTCTGCCTAGCACATACCGTTAGGTATGAACTAACAATACCGGCAAACCAGCTATTATTTCTTCTCCTATTCTCTTTCATCTGGGCAGTATTAATGCGACAATTAAGTTAAAAATTGCTGGACATGAAGGGGAAACGATATTAGTCAAACTTCCAAATTTTGTTTTTTCTCCCAATGTCCAACAGTAGCGTTAGCTCGCCTCAGTATGCGACGTAAAGAAGACTGGGTAAGATTTCGAAAATTGAAGATGTAATAATCATTAGAATTTTTTTTAGGACAGTCGGATATAAGATTTTTGGTAAAGACGCCTGCGTTATAAGGTAACTACTATAAGGTAGTTATGTGAAATAATAGAATAGGAAGGAGGGTTCAAATGTTGGATAGAATTTGACTAGTAGAGGGCGGTGGACTATGAGGGAAGAAAATAAGAAGCAGGATATTTCCGTGAATAGGCACTCTAGTGGTGGGTTTTCAGTAAAAGGATATCTGAGCAGGAATTTAACTTTCAGGTAGTCATAAACCAACAAACTTACTTTTGTGCATATTACTATATCAAATTATAAGAGCCGTCCCAGTTTCTCTGTGGATCCGAATAAAATAAAATTTTCTTAGGAATTAATGTAATTGAAATAAAATAAAAACCCGAAGAAAAAAAAGGACAGAAAACGATTGAAATACCAAACGTTGATTTTTATGTTAAAATATAAACATTAGGAACTACTACTCACTTTTACCAAAATTCCATTCATAAAACGTAATTTCATAATTGCAAAGCGTCTGTTTGGGATGTGAGAAGGTATTGGGAAACAAGGTATTTGAATGACATGGAGAAAGTATACCGGAGATTAGGTAGGGAATCACAAAATCCAACGGAGCGAGCAAGACAAGAACGTTCAAATGTTTTAGTTTTATGGAAAAGAGTATGGAGGTCAGAAACACAGGATCTTGTTTTCTGTGAGTGGAGTGTGGGTTTGAACTGTAGCAGGCGGTAGATATAGGTAGGGTGCTGGGAGTTGATAGCTTGCTATAAGTAAGATCCGAGGAAGTAATGACAGAGAAAGGAGAAGAAACGTCACTTTAACTCGGGGTATAGAAGGGACACATGAGACCGTCTCTGGGTACTTGGGTATGTTATCTCTGGGTACTTCTCATTTTATCTGGGTACTACAAGACAAGCAACAATTAAATTGGTAATTTTACTTTACTACTTAGATATATTTAAAGTAAAGATAATTTTAATACCTTACAATTGTAACAAACAACTAAAAAGTTGCTTCGACTAAACGTCTTACGGTAGAGACGGTCCGTCAATCAGTGTCTACAGCTCTTTTCCCTTTTCACTTCATCAGCATTAGTGAGTTCATCACCCTCAAATAATTTGTAAATTCTGAGGGAATGTGGCAGTGCCAACCAAGTCTGAAATACAACTCGGTTTTCTTGTCTGTAGTACACATAGCATTTATATTTTCATATAATGTAAGCAGGACTTACTTAGGATCTAATTCCACATTCAGGTTCTTGTCTCAAATAGGTATGAAACACTTGAACTTGAAAAACAAAACATCCGTTTCACAACATTGAACTGAAGTAATTCCTTTACAGCCTCTACTTCAGGCAGGTGGCCATGGAGACAGAATATGCCAATGCAAAACCGCTACGGTAGTCACCACCAAAACGATACCAATGCAAGTGGATGGTGAAGCTTGCAAACTGAATCCGAGTATCATACAACTGGAGCACCTCAACAAGGCTCCTATGCTCATCAAGAAAAAAACTGGAAAATCCTCTAGCACGTGAGATTTTAGTTAGCGGATAAGCCTATGATTAGACATTTTTACAATATTGTCTTTAAATTACTACTTTTTTGGAATTATATTTATTTACAAAGAAAGGTTTTGATTTATTTTTTTACAGACAATCAGGATTGCAATCATTCTCAGTTCAAGTAAAACTTCTGAAGATGATGGATTACGAAAAGCACTACTTCGAAAAAGATATTCTGAAAGATACGGGTACGTAATATGTAAACATATTATATAAGATAGATAAATAAATATAATTCTTATTAAAATAATTTTTCCAATTTGGAGTGTACCAATAGTTCATTTATTCGAAAGTCATGAACGCGTCATATTAATCCGAAAGTAAAATTATTTATATATTTACTAGCCATTTTATGTAAAGCCATATAAATATTTAAGCCATATCTATATTTATATGTTTAATAGCCATATAGATAAGGCAGTAGAATACCTCTAATCCAGATCCTTTTTTTCCAATCATCCTTTAAATCCGAATGGAATTTGGAAAAAAAAGTAACTGCAATGTAGTAAATTCCTAAATAATTTAATTTAGCTAGCGGTACGTACTAAAATAATTTAAAGATAATGTTTGACTGGGTTTATGCAAACGTGTTATAAGATAACATGAAACTTGAAATTGGTTGGTCCATGTTATGCCGAAACAATTATGTGTTATGTCAGTTTCTGAGTTTTGATTAGAAAGATATTTTGTTTTGTTAGCCTTATCTGAGTTCGTATGCCTAAAACTTAATTATATATTTGTATAGATTATGCAACATTGAAAATAAAACTAAGCTTAAGAGAAAGGTGTGTTTATGAGAAACAAAATCGCCTAATTATATATTCATGTACATTTTACAACAAATTCCTTTCAACACGGTCGTGGTCTGGTCCCTATTAGTGCCCATTGCCAGTATTCTGCTGTGTTAGTAATATAATGTTTTAGTGTTCATCAAAGCTATATAAAAAAATAAAAAAAGAAAATGTAATAATACTAAAATAAAGTTAAGTAATTTTAATACTTGAAATATAACAGGGAAAAAACTTAATTTTGGGATTAGGTTCTCTAAAAAAAACACAGAATTAAAAAAAAATATTTAAGCATAACTGTCAAGAAATATTTAAAAAAACGAAATGAATAACTCAATTTTCCATTCAATGAAAATTTATTAATTAAAAACATCTGATTGAAAAAAAAATAGGCAGTTGATTAAAATTAATTTTGTTATCTATTGTATGATATGATATCATATAATGCAAAATTCCGTATTTAGATATGATTATTACCTCATACTTAGTTGTGCCGTATTTATTTTAAAGAAATTCTAAGGAAGGAGTTTATTCATTTGTTTTTCATTTAATAAATGCAGAAATTATACTTTTATGTAATGTATTTAACAATACCTCGAGTAAAGTGCAGACACCGATCAAATATAAAAAAATCTCCTTCTCTCAGTCTTCTTCAGGAAGAAGAAAATACAGAAGCCTTCGAGCAATGTCTGACGGCACTCGCGCTGTATTTAGAAGTGGAGAGGGGATGGAGTGCGGACTTATCCGGAAATTATCCGCAATAAAATAGTTCCTTTCTTCTCTCCAGTGGTGATCAGAAGGGGGTTTCATTGCGTAATTTGCGCCATCAAAATTTTTGAGGGGGAGCACATTTCTGCTAGGTTTTAAATTGTTTGAGGGGGTACACTTCGAGAGGGTCATACATTTTCGAAATGGAAAGTTTTTAACCAGGTGATAAGAGGAAAGCATAGAACAGACCAGTGAAAATGTAATCTTTGTCATCTTTGATTTCTAAAATTATACTTTAGCCTGCACTGTTAATAAAAAGAGGAGAGCAAGAAAATATTTTGGAAGGAGGGGTGGAGGGAGTTCACGCCAATGAACTTGGGGGGGAGGAGGGCACCTCTGCTTCCCTCTCATTATTCTTTTTAGAATTTTATTTATTCATGATATTTACAACTGCATTAGGATATAAATACATCTAGTAAATGTGTATACAGGAATATAATGACATAAAACGCTTTTTGAGAAACAACCCACAGGTAGCACTCTAATAATATGTCTACTTAAGGAGATCACAAGGCCATCTTCTTTTCCGACTCCATACAGGGTTATCGGGGATCGAAGAGGAAGGAAGCAAGGCTAGAAACGAGAGGGTTCCGAAGTTTATTATGGAAGGATATGTATCTGGATTGGGCCAAAGGTAAATTAAGGTCGTTAAGGATGATTTATTTTGTGACAAAGTAAGGAGCATTGAGAATTTTACGAAGGATTTTGGATTGTAAGGATTGGATAGGAGAGGAATTTCATAGCTTAGTGCAGCCCCAAAGCTCAACCCCTTAAGTCCAAATAGGCCTTATTATAGTCATACTTATGAGTCTTTTGTAATTAAGTGAAAGTTTAGAGCGTTTTTCTAGTAAGTACAGGAGTAGTCGAAAATATCAAGTGGTTTCTAGTCGTTTTAGTCTTGTATGAAGATTCCAATTGAGACGTTTGTCCAAGTGAAGTCCAAGGTATCGGATTTGTTCTACAGGGATAAGTGGAGTATTATTAAAAGAAACTGTAGTCATTGTTTTACGATTAGGAAGTCAAGGATTTATGATGAAAGTTAAAGGTAATTTAATGTGATTTTTTGGTATTAATTTTAATCCTCCAGTTTTGACACCATTCTTCAAGGTTATTAAAGAATTTGGGATGCAAATGATAGATGATTATTAACTGATAGCACACGTGTCATCGGCATATGTGGTAATTACCGTGTTAGAATGGGTTGGGATATCAACTGTATAAACATGGTAAAGGGTAGGGCCTAGGATACTACCTTGAGTAACACCAGCAGACAGAGAAAAGTGGGATGAATAGAGATTGTTGTGATTTACTTTGAAGTATCAATCAGTAAGGTACGAGCGGATAATGATAAAGTATGTAGGTGGTAGGAATTTCTCATAGTTCAAAAATAAGTCCCAGCATCCATTTTTTTCTTAAAATAATCAATTTTTGAAGTAAAATCTTCTTTAGGCGCGCTTAGCGCTTTATTTCGTGGGTATGAAATGAGACTTAGCCGTCACGCTCGGTTATATAACGCTCATTCGTTTGATGTCGACTCGAGTAGACTAATTTTTGAATTTTGACTAAATAAATCTCAGAAACTAAAAATTGGACCTGCATACTGCAAGCAAGGGAAATATTCAGCATTTTATCCACTTTTTAATTAGATATTATTCCAAATTTTATCCTGATGCTACGCCGTGATAGAGCGGTGAAAAGAGAAAAAGTGGGGTAAAGGCAACTGTTAAAGGCTGATTAATGTGCCTATGAAAGGGAGCCAACTTTGAAATCCTACATGAATCTAAATGTTTGTTTTATTAAATTTAATTTACAAGTGTCAATAATTTAATAATAATAAGTGCCTTTACCCTAAAACAAATATTATCGACTGTTATATTTTAAAGTTTAAAGACTAAAATATTTTAAAATTCAAATACCATGGCGAAATCAGAAAACAATATTCAGAAACCAACATATATATTTTTTAACTGGCCATAAAAATTAATTATAAATTAATTAGGTAAGTGTTTCTATTCGATTTTTTGTTGCTATTGATAGAGCTTCGACAAATTACTGATCCCCGTAACAAAAGTTTTATTAGAAAAAAGTAACAATACTGTATAATTATCTTATACTAACTGACGTCCATTGTATACGAATGTATAAATATTTCATGTTACAGAAGATGGATGAAAAAAAGTCACAATTATAATTGTCTATAATGCTATTGCTTTGTGAATATAGAATACAAAAAACAACTGATATTTCAAGTTATTAATCTCGCCTGGTTGATGTTTTCACTGCTATGAAGACCACACTTAAGCGCACACCGTAGTTGTTTTTTTTAAAACTATTTTTGGATAATATAAAATTCTGTCACAATAACTACAATAGTTATAATGAGAAAAGATTTCATATCACACCATTTTCTAATATAAATTAAGAAAATTGCTTTCAATACAGAAGATTTCAGCTACTTGCTCAAAAACGTCACTTATACCAGGTCAACACATAAGTAACCTCAGTTTTTAAAAATCGGTCTGTTTAGGTTGATATTACTAATTTCTCTTTTGAAATTGAATTATGTTTACATATTTTGTATATCATATTGTATTATTACATACTCTTCTATTTATCATGTTTTTGTTCGAGGAACTTAAGTTATTTTGTGCTGAAATTTCATTAAAAATGGATCTCCCCCAAAACCACTTACGCCATGTTACGTTTTGTAAATTCGATAAATGAGAAAAAGCTGCATAAACTTGTGGGAAACTTGCAGGAATATATGGAAAAATGGCAAGTGGTTTGAAAAGTTTCGAGCAGGAAACGGCAAACTTGAAAACAAGCCTCGGACACGTCGTCCAATAGTGCTCGGCGACGAACTACTAAAGGCTACTGTTGAAGAAAATCTTGTTGTAACAGTTGTAGAATTGTCATAAAAGCTTGGACCGACACATTTTACGGTCCACCGTCATTTGCAACTGATAGGAAAGCTACCGAAATTGGGAAAGTTGCTCATTTACAACAGCGTGTGGACACTTTTCTCTCCTCTCATCTTTAGATCAAGAAGTTTATCCAAACATGATAGTAACTGGAGATGAAAATTTGGATTTCTATGCAATGTTAGACTGCCGTGACAGTGGTTAAGTCCTGAAGAAACACCGAGAACAGTCCCGCGAGAGAAGGACTTAATCCGAAAAAAGTAATGATGTCTCTTTAGTGAGATATGGAAATAATCCTATTTTGTAATAAACAATTCCTTGATCATAAATAAAATATCACTAAAGATCTGTAATGTGATCAGCTGGATCGATTGAATTTTCCGCTTCATGTTACTAAAAAATAAACATCTCCGTGGCCATGTGGTGAGCAATTGCCAAGAAGATACATTATGTTTTAGAAATGTTTTATTTACGCATTCTTAAACAAATGTAACGTTAGGAATTCGACATACTTCATAGTGGAATATTTTTATTTTAGCTCCCAAGTTTTTTCAAACTTGCCAAATTAGTCGAACTATTTTTGAAATATCAGTGTGTCAAGGATTATACGTTTCAGCATGCATAAGTGAAATTAGAAAATGTTACTAATTAGGACTTTATCTAAAATATATTATCTCATGTTAATTAGAATAAATAAGTTAATATAGGCTCATATTTTAGGAAGTTTTGTCGGGGAGCTAACAGTGATGCCAGATAACGACTTGGAAAACGTAAGGAATAAAATAAATGAAATACTATCAAGTTCCGGAAACCAGATCTCCCCTGATTGGTGTTTTGTGGACAGTAAGTTTTTTGTTTGCTTTTGTCAGTACATTTTTGTTTAAAAAAAAAAAATATATATATATATATATATATTAAGATCAAATGAAGACAATTATCGAATGAAAGTTTCATTTCTGGCTACCTGTGATATCAAATACGTTTCATTAAAAAAAAAAAAGATTGACTAAATAAGGTATAATGTTCCAGGTTGTACAACAGAACGTTTCTTCAGAATTGATCGCTCGCAAGAAAATATTTATTACATAACAGACATAGCTAATGATATTGTGTTCATTCTGGAGGCTGCGCAGGAAGTTACAGAGATGGAAACGGCTTACCCATCTCCTTCGTCGGAAAAAGTCACCAATAGGTAAGATAGAAGAAGACTAAAGATGAGTTTTGTACCACCCAATAGCTAAATTTCCCCAGATGCATATTTATATTGCAAAAATAATAATTATTATTGTTTGATTATATGCTTGTCTTATTATATCTATTTCATTTTATTATTTACGCAGTAAGTTCTAACTAACGATATTATAGTCATGAATGAAATCACACAAAGATCAAGAGAGCTCAAGAATCTTGAGCTAAGCCGCTAGATTTCTAAATATATGGACGCAATTTCTTTTAATTGGCCCATCAATAGGATTATTTTACCCATTCATATACAAATAGGAAGTAACCAACAACTGATAAAAGAGGAGATAGTATAACGACGAACCCTCTTCTTCTCCCCGTCACACAACAATAAATATCTTGATGATTAGCAAAGAGCAAGAAGGAATCGGATAATTGTATTAAGTAACCAGTAGATCCCCATTTACCTATTATAATGCTACCCTATTTTGCATGGTACGTAATTCAGAAAACATGTCATGAACAAAAAATAAATTTTTTGATATCATGTATTTTCATAAATTGGCAATTTATTTTCTACTCACATAACTTTTGAGAAGAAAATAAAATGCTGATAGCTTTCGTCAGATTTTTCGTCGATAATTATTTTATTTGATTTTTCATTTAACTTATAAATGAATTTTTGTAACAGTCCAGGAACCATCACTCAACGTTGCAAAACACAAACCAATATGACCAAAATCCTTATCATTCATCTATTCTATTCTGAACGATTCGTTAACTTAAAGATTTTTTAACCTTAAATTCGATGGTATGGTTATTACAATTTTTTAACCTTAAATTCGATGGTATGGTTATTACACTGAGCATATTTTAAGCGGTAAATGCCTGATATTTCAAGTTTTGTTGAATTTGAAACTTTGGGAAACAAAAATTGCACTTAATAGATAATTTGTTTTATTATTTATTCATTCTGTGTTTCTGTATTGAATACTGGCTGTATGAGTAAAAATAAATAACTAATTCTTGAAAAAAAAATCAAAAAATTTTTAATAATACAAAACTATCTTAATTTTTGAATGACAAGATCTTTCACGAAAATTTAATATCAGCTAAATCCATATTATCGTCACAGTCCTCATCCTCTTAAGGAGAGGAAGGTGTCAGAAGATAGTGATGATTGGATCTTATGAAATGCGGAGGTTATACATATCCATGTTTACCTTTTCGTTTCTGAAAAAAAGACGCAATGGTTGTACAAAATATGACAATGATTGAAGTAAAATATTGTTTCTGTTAACTAAATTAGACTACTTATTACATCCATTGCACTAACGGCTTCAAATTTCTTTAGGTGGTGACGGTGCATGAATAAAATGTACGTTACGTTACACAACGTGGTAGAGAAATATTGTCCACTTTTGAAACAAAGAAACCTTTTAATTAACATTTACGGTTGTTATTGTTTAGGATCTAAGGTGGAGTAATACGGAGCATATGGCCATAATAGTTGTCACTTAGCTTCTCCTTCCCAATTCCATTCTCACCTACACGTTGGTGGATTCTTTTAAGTCAAGCACCCAGTCTGAGGAGGTCGTCACCTATCTTCACGGAGGGCTGGGTTGGTGGGAAGGAGCCCTGCCTGGAGGCAATCTAGGACTAGGCCTATTGTAGTGATGTGCCGATCAACAGGAAACATCTTCTAGAGTAATAGCGGAGGAATCCTGTTTATAACAGGTCAAGGGCACCTCTCGCAGGCTTAGCGAGGATAGCTCACTGCGAAGGGTCAGGTAGAAAATCATGAAAACCCATGGTGAAGTGAATCTACTTAGGGGACCAACTCCTGATAAACCCTGTGGTCAACTAATGCTGGAACCCTATTGTTTCTGGGTAAAGAGCCTCTTTTGCTGGGCTAATTACCTATGAAGGAGTTACATTGATTCCAGGTAGTGAAACAGAAAGAATCAGGATTTCACAGATCCTCTTTCAAGAAATACGGGAGAGAAAAAACAGCTACTTAGAATGGCAACTCAATATAATAGTGCCAATGCACAAAGAAGGGAGCCTTATTGAGTGTATTAACTATAGACAAATATGCTTCTTTGCAGTTGTATTGTAGTAAAATTAACACTTCATTCATAAATCATAGTATAAGAAAACTTGTTGAGAAAGATATTGGGGAAGAACAGGCTTTATTCCGGCCGAGTAGATGGGCTCAAGATAATATTTTTGTGCTACCAAACATAATTAAGAGAAGGGTTGGGATACAGATAGAAATATGTATCTAGCTTTTCTGGAACTCAGAGTAGCTTTCGATCCTGTTCCACTAGCAATTATATGGAAAGGCATTGAGTGTGAAAAGGTTCCTACACCCTTAATTTAGGCACAACAATCAACATACCAAGACCCTCTTAGAATAAATGGTACGAGCTCAATTTTTTTCCCAATGGTACGAGATGTAAAGAAAGGTGACAGGCTACTTGAAACTAGAGGAAACAACAAGAAAAATAGGCCTAAAGACAACGCTGCAAAAGACAAATATATGGTCACTGAGGAAAATCCCAGACCGGGCGAAAGCATTACCATCGGAGAATTCTCCATTGGAAAAGTGTCAGAATTTATACATCTCGGATCCTTCATAACTCATAATAATGTTGTGGATTCTAAAATTAAGCGAAGAGTGCTATGTGCCAATCGTTGTTATTATGGCCTCAGTTCATATTGTAGGAGCCGTGCTTTATCCATAGAAACAAAAATCCTATTATATAAAACAATTATCCGGCCGATACTCCGATATGGCTTAGAAACATAGACTATCTCCAAAACTGGCGAGCAGAATCTAATGGTCTTTGACAGAAAGATTTTGCTTAAAATCTTTGGAGCTGTGAAAGTTGACCAGTTATGGAGACGTCGGACAAAAAAGGAGCTCAAAGATTTGTTTAAAGAACCAGACATGTTTCATTACATGAAGCTCGATAGATTGAGATGGACTGGGCACGTCACTCGAATGGCTGAGAATGGCATTCCGAAGAATATCATTAGACAAGTAATACGCGGAATAAGGCGTAGAGGAAGACCTCGGTTTCGGTAGAGTGACGGTGTGGCTGGTGATGCCAGGTCCATGTTGGGAGTGAGGAGCTGGATGGCGGCTGCACAGGAAAGGAACAATTGATGGAGGCTCGTACAGGAGGCCAAGACCCGATATCGAGTTGTCGCGCCGACAGAATAGAAAAGAATAGTTAGAAACACAGTCCCCATAGACAAAGAAGTGTCAGGCAGGATTGCATTGTAGGCAAGAGAGATGTTACCGATCAGATCAAGCTCCAAATCTTCCAATTTGTTTATCTGCCGACTCTGTTGAATGGAACTGTGAAATATACCCACTGAATAGCAGGCAAGACGCGAACTGACCGCATCAGAAATGAGACGATATACAATCAGTTGACGATATACCAATTTAAAAATAAATTCCATGGAAGAAAACTAAAGTAGTTCAGAACCGAGACTCAAGAAAAATAATGGAAGACCAGAGGCATATCAAGATAAAGGCAGACACGCGATATCATATAAAAAATATATCACCATGTTGGACATAGTCAAAGGATTAAAAACTCTCAGTGAATTGAAGTTTCAGGTACAAAACCGTGAGACCTGGTTTGGGTAAAAAGAGGAAGAGAAAGAAGAGGAATCGTATATGTTCGCAATTTCAAGAACGTAGTTAGAAATGAAAAAATGATAAAATCATTATCAAAACACATCTTACACGTAAAAAATTGTGCTAGAAATCTTTGAAGTTAAATTAATTTCTGAAGTGTGCATTATTTTTGCATCATCCTGTATTTTTTTTCTATTACATTTGTTCTCCGTGTAATTGGACATTTATTATAAAATAATCATTATATGCAATATTTTTTAGTAATTGTTCTGAAAGATGTATTCGATTTGAAGGGGGAGTAGAGGTGCATTAAGTATAAATGTGTTTTTTTTATTTATTGTTATTTTTTTAATCTACTTATTTATTTATTCTCTGTGAATTTCTGTATTTTGTGTGATTTTACTTCAAGTTACATTTCTTTTGTTTCTATTACAGTTTTTCCTTTGTTATAATGTTGCTTACTTTATTTTATATATATGGTATGAATGTGTCTCACTCAGCTCTAATACGCAGTGCCAAAATGTGGCAAGATGTATTATTTCTTGATAAAAAGATTTTTAAAAGTTAAAAAAAAAAAATTGTTCTAAACCAATGAAGAATATCTCATTTTCATGGGACCAAATTTATGCGAACAAATCAAAGCATTTTTGAAACGCAAAATTCATTATCAAGACTAACTGAAACATAGTCCTGTGTAAAATAAGTTAGACATAAATAAACAGATTCATTAATCAATATATTGTATTTGTAATCCTGGATTTAAATAAATGAAATGTTACTTTTTCACTTTACTTAATTTACTTAATGTTAAACAAGGGTAACGTGTCCCCTTGATAAGTGTATTGTTATTATCTTACACCATTGTAATTAATAACCAATAAATAAAAAAAAAACACGCCAATTTTCTCATACCGCAAATAATATGGTTTAATTTTTTTCAGTGATATAGTCAAAGAAGCGAAATCTGATCAAGAAAACAATTACATTAACAATGAAAATGAAGAGACAGGGTTCAAATCAACGGTTAAGGAAATGAGTCAAAAAAACGAAGTACCTTCTGTACCAAGCATTATTACGAGTAATATAAACTTTTCAAATGGTTTTCGCCTTATTTTTCCTGATAATAGGTAATTAGTCTATGCCTATTTAGTTTTCTTTATATAATAAATAATAATTATGTATACTCATGATTTGTTGCACAATAGATGGAGATTACTTCCAAGCCGCATTCGAGCGAACCATTTTAATGCTCTTGACAAACTTTAGTATCCGAAATTCTATATACACTTTTGGGGAGGGTTTAAGGTCTTCTTTTCTAGAATTTCATTTTGTTGAAATATTTATTCCAAGGCGGAATTATCCCTTCCACACACTTCTTACAATAAAGGGTACAGTGCACATTGGCATGTTCAACATACCTACTATAATCGAGATTCATCATGTCCCCTCTAATTTAAAAAATCTAAATTTTATCAGTTATTACTATTAATCATCATTTATATATGATACATCTATATCATGCTTTAATTCTTTATAACTAACATATTTCTGTGGAATGACGACGTGCTTTCTGATCCTGGACGAACTGCGTTTCAACGTTTATTAACAGAAATATAGAAATATTTCTTTACAGTATTTAATCCAGAGCATGTTTGATATTTTATTTATAGTGAATAAATGATATTATACCAGAATATATTTTTTTATATAGACTCATTAAAGGAGGGGAAACTATTGATAAAGTAGCCTATTCATTACATGTAGACGTCGGTCTCACCCAGGTCAAGGGTATGTTCCATCAAGACAATTAATAATGAAGCTGGGTGTATGTTAAGATTCTATTAACATAAAAATATATTTAAAAAATAGTTTACATGATTTTTAAATATGATCTCAGACAGTGAACTATATGTGATACAATTTCATATCAACTTATTGCAAACATAAAAGAAAGTACCTAAAAATATAATAATAGGTTGGCAAAATTCCGGATAATCTGGGTTTTTGATATGTCGAATACTGATAAGCGAGTTTCGACTATTCAGGATATAAGAAACTCAGGAAGAATTTTGAGTTTTTTTTTTTTTAGCAGTAATAACTAAAACCCTTATCAGGCCAGTGATTAGTTATGGCGGGGAATGCTGGGTAATGCACAAGATAACCTGTGATAGGCTTGACAGGTTCGAGAGGAGAGTGCTACGAGGAATGTTTGGTGGAGTGCTGGAGAATGGAGTGTGGCGAGGTAAGAAGAACAAAGAAGTATACGATATCTACAATGATCAAATTTCATACGAATAAGCACGCTAAAATGGTTTAGCTATGTAAATTGAATGAATGAAGACAGACAGGTAAAGAAAGTATTCAAAGGGAAGATCTTTGCCACTAGAGCAAAGGGCAGGCCAAGAGCTCGATGGAGAGAGAAGGTGGAAGAGGACATGAAACAGGCGGGTATCTGTGTGGTGGAGGACAGAGCTCTGTGGCAGCAGATGTTGAAGCAGGCCAAGGACCACTTCGGGCTGTAGCGCAAAAGAAGAAGAAGAATTACTGGAAGAAAAGTAGAAAAAATACCCATATGAAATCATGATTAAGCGCTGCTTAAAAGCCAAAAAAATATAAATAAATAAAACGATAATTATCTTCTTCTTCTTTTATTTTTTATTTGTCTTCCTACTTATTACCTAAACGTTAGTACCTACTGGAATAACGGAACCAATAACATTTGGCCAGAAATCGATGCAAAGGAGTGATCCGTCAAGCAAACATAGCTGCCTTGGAGAAGTTTAGAAAATGCCTCGATGAAGACCACCAAGAGGGTATTAAAACATTCTGGCACAAAATAAAGACATTGAGAAGGGAAAGAAGTAAGCCAGTGAGAAATGAGTAAGACTCAAATGAACAGAATAGGTAAAAATTCTTGAGCGGTGGAAGGAGTTTTATCAAGGACACTTCTTAAAAAGGCCTAATGACCAAGGAGGAGCATGCTGCAGAAAATTGTAGTCTGGAGAGTTCCGATGCCATTGAGGAAAATGAGGTGGAGTATGCCATCGAAAAAATTGAAATAGGTAAAACATCCAGAAGGGACGTTATTGCTCCAGAATTTTTGAATTTTGGAGGTAAAGAGCTTATTAAATTTTTCCAGCAACTCTTCCAAATTATATGGGACACATAGATCATTCCAAGATATTGGGAGTTACAGGAAAATAAGCTTACTTTCGGTGGCTTACAAACTATACGCCTCAATCCTAGAAAGGAGACTAAGGACCGCAGTCGAGACCCAAATAGTACAACAACAAGCAGGCGGCTTTCGTCCAGGGAGGAAGACTCCCTTCGGAGGAAGGCCACATCTTCGTACTGCGAAGCATCGCTAAGAAAGCTTGGGACAGAGATAAGAACATATATATGGCATTCTTTGACCTCAAAGCAACGTTCGACTCCACCACCAGAAAAGAAATATGGAATGCTTTGAAAGCAAAAAATGTTCCAGGAGATCTTATAACAGCTATTACATCGGTTTATCAGGAAGCTAAAGGAGTTGTGACGATCAATGGAAGAGAGTCCAAGCCTTTTCCCATAGAAAGAGTTGTGCGACGGGGAGACAGACTCAGTCCCCTCTTATTCATCATATTTATGAAATCCACAAAATTTGTAAGCGCCGTACTGCTTGGACGGTCATCGGTAAATGGAACAAGAGGAATGTTATGTTTCAAAGCTTATTGTTTGCCGATGACATAAGTCGGAATAGACATCGAGGGTGCAATACGGAAAAACACGCTATTTTTATTTTTTTGGGCATATTTGTGTACACATGAATAATAAAATGGTTCGTTAAGTTTCATTAGCATTTTAGTAATTCAAAGTAAAATCCTTAACTAAATTCTATTTTTTAAATTCACAATTTAAGACATTTGTTGAACAGATGTTAATTTGGTTATTTAAAAGGAAAAAAAGATAAGAGAAAGTAAACATTTGTTTTAGCTAAATCACAAACTAAATTATTTCAGTACTCTTTTGTAATACCATCTTGTAATTTTATACATTACTAAGAATATTTGTTTTTTTATTTTAGGAGTCTTTTGGGAAAATCATCGAACCGAGTACTAGATGCAGCGAAAAAAGGAGATTTGAAAAAGGTAATATACTAATAAATGTATATTTCATGATCAGGAGTGGCCACCTCAGGATCGCACATGCAACATCCCCCTTCCAAGAAAATATATTGCTATCATCTTCTTAAAAACGATGCAAATGAAAGAATTTCAGTCCGGCCCAATTGATACCTCTTAAAAATATAGTTTCCCCCAAAAATTCATAATCCTTAAATATTTGCCACATCCCCCTCAAAAATTCACAACCATAGACGTCGATCCTTATGGGACGGCACCATCCAGTGTTTGAAATGGTTCCATTTGTTCTCAACATTATTTTGAATGGTCTTCTACCAGCATAAAATAACTTAAAATCTTGTCGATTTGTATAAACAAGTTTAATTGAATGAGTTCACTGTTATAAATATAGGCGCATAGTATTTCTTTGTACACTTTCAATCCCTGTTCAGTTGCATTTACACAATAACCAAACCTTGAAGTGCACCACTGATGAATCTACGGGGATGATATATTTTCTTTTTAAATTATGGATATACAGCTGTTAAATTTAAGCACGTGTCAAGAAAAAATATAAGAAATTTATCTCAAACAGCATTATTGTTCCAGTATTTTTTCCCCCTTCGAGAACTACTTAAACATAATTTCAAATAGGTCGTAATTTAAGAATAATAATGACAAACGAAAAAAAAAAAAGCCTCCCTAAATTAAATCCTGGATCCGCTACTGGCGAGTATAAACATTTAAAAGTGCAGTTGTGCTTGGCTCGCGCATGTTTCCCCTTGTTTTTGGCGAATCCGCCAACAAAGAGTAATACATCAAATATGGCTCGCGCAAAGCGCCAATTAGTCGCTAATGGTGCCCAATAATTAATAAGATATTTGTGTTTTTGTTCAGCTTCTTAAATTTTCAAAATAAAATTTGTCTGAACTAAATTTTGAATTAAAATATTTCTCTGTAACACAAGAATGTAAACTCCTCCATCACTGTGATTGAAGCATCGCAGTGGTGTCTAGAAGTGGTCTACAACCAATCTCTAAATTTTAAAACTAAATTTCACAATCTAATATTAAAAGAATAAGGTATCTCTGTCCCACATGTTGTCTGTACATCGAGAAAATAATTAGAAAAAATCTTTCTCGGGACGAAGATATTATGAAAACTCTCCATTCAGTTTCTGACAATTATAAAACATTTCCTATTCGACTAGGATGGATGACTGCCGTTCTGCGAAGAAAACTATGGAGGCTAAACCAGCGGGGAAACGACCTAGATGAAGGCCAAGAGTTACTTGGGAGGATAACTTCTAAAATATTCTTGAGCTGTCTAAAAAAAAATATACACTGAAAGGTAGAAAAGATCGTCATAAAAGAGGAATCGGAAGAAAGTAAATTACTCTTCTGGGATTGTAAATGCCTCTGATAGTAACTGAGTATTTAAAAATCTCAAACAAAGGTTTGATTGAAGTGGTCCAAACAATTTCAAATATACTTCTTCCTTTAAGAGATGAAAATTTAAAAAAATATTTGAAAAATAGAATAATGCGATCGATTTTCAAGATCTGGATGAAATTAAAAAAAAATAATATAGTAACCTGGATCTATCACCATTTTACAGGAATACCACTGACCTTAACTTCAACTTATCCTACCCAAGGCAGTACCCAGAAGTACCCGGCAGTTGGTGGTAGACTGCAGGAAACTGCTCGAAAATTGCCCGTTGTGTTTGTTACTTGAGGATGGGAGGGCTTTGCAGCCCTATGTAGTATGATATGGTGACTCATTCTGTTATGGTGTCTTGGCTACAACCTTTATCTTGCCATTTAGGCATGAAACGTAAAAGCCAATAAACAGAGATCCCGACTAAAAAATAAGCGTTGGCTAAAAATGCATATGTAGTTAGAATGCTTTAAGAACCAATATAATGCAAAAAAAAAAAAAATTCTTTCAATCTAGAATAGGTATACACCTAATAACACGTACTTTCAGGCTAAAGCCATCACCTTCCCAAAAACAAATGGTAAAATATAATCATGTCATAAAATAACCATTAAAACGTTATCTCTAAAAGTATTATTGTTCGTGTCAAAAATCGCTTCTTAAACGCCATTTCATATATTTATTTTTCTACCAAAGTAATTATCATTATACATAAAAAACAAATCCGCTAGGTCAATGATAGCCCAGTAATCCTGTTGCATTGAATGGGGGTAGAAGATTTCTTTTTATTTTCTTGTATGGGATATGACTGAGATGCGAAATCCAAGTTTTCGATCTCGGATCCTCCCCCCACTCCCCTGATCACTTCTTGATTTACAGAGCCTGTTTTTCTCTTAAATTGTAACATATATAATCTATTATAAAATGTAAGGTATGTTTTTTGTCGACAACGTGCTGCTTCAGGGATGAAATGGGGAAAAACCGAGAAAAAAAAATGTGAAAATATAGAACTTTTCGGGATATTCTGGAGAAAAACAGGCTCGGCCAACCACAAGTTTACGAGATACAGGTTTACAAAATTTGTAAAATTTAATTTTCCATTTAAATTATTTTTTATGTTTGATCATATGCAATTGTCTTTTATCTGCAATAGCCAGACATCCCTCCCGTGCACCCTCCCTCCCCATCACTATAAATTATATATCTTTGTGTTAGATGCCAGCTCATACTAATGAATGAAATATCTTTACCCACTTTCGTGGGGGCCAGAGGAAGTAGCTGGATAGATGTGATCTTGCTTTGTCAACTACGGCAAGACGTGTTGCTGGCTGGACCCATGGATTGAAAAAGAGTTCTGACCACGAGACTATTACCTTTAGCATAGCAAGAGGAAAACAAGATGACATTAAAACAGGATTTGTAACTAGAACAGCTGGTAACTTTATATTGAAAAAAAAAGCCAATGGTCTCACAAAAAAGTGGCCGCACTGTCCTAAAATGGCGTCCAAACATGACGGTCAACCGACTTTTACTTAAATTAGTTTTTCGTTCACGAGATTCAACAGTTGCCTTGATTTCATCAAAATTGATATTTAATTAAAGCTGGCTAATCATAGAATAATAAAAGATTTTAAAAAAATAGAAAATGATATGCCTTGGATCTAAAAAATATCAATAAATTTAATTTTTTCAAGTCGGTCAAATTTTATTATATTTGTTTATTTAAAAATATTACATTCTGTCACATCAAGGACATTTATAATAGTGTTCAGAGAAAGCACACTCACACTCTATTTAGAATAAAAATAAATAAATAATACAGAAACTTAATAATAATAAATACAATAAAATAAAATAAAAATAAATACAATAAAATAAAATAAAAATAAATACAATAAAATAAAATAAAAATAAATACAATAAAATAAATAAAAATTAATACAATACAATAAAATAAAAATAAATACAATAAAATAAAATAAATGTATATAAACAAAAGAACTAACCTAATCATACACACTCGGGCTTGAGTGGAGGATCTGGCCATTGCCAAAACTCCAATAGATGCTTATTTACAAAAGGTCTCTGGGCCACTGCCGCTTCAACCTTCGAGGAGGATTGTAAGGATGGGTGGTGCTGGATAGAGATTGTGCAAGGGGATTTGGATGATAGGTAAGGTTCTGGTGAAATTTGAAGAATTTTTCTGGAATAAGGTCTAGGACAAATTGGATATTAAGGTCATGGTGTAGGATTTTGTTGAGTAGATATTGGAAAATTCTGTTCCACAGCGAACTCGGAAGGAGCGGTCAGAGAGGTAGGATCGGAGGACTAGGTACAAGGACTGAGGTAAATGGATTTTAAGCTTGAAGAGCAGTCCGGAGTGCCATACCCGGTCAAATGCCTGTGCAATGTCCAGAAATGCACCCGAACAGTATTCCTTGTTTTCTAGGGCTGAGGAAATATGATCAACAACTCGGAGTCCTTGTTGAACAGTAGAATGTTGGGAGCGAAAACCAAACTGATGGGAAGGAATATTTTGGGATTCTATAATGGGTAGGATTCGTTTCAAAAGGATCTTTTCAAAAATTTTTGAAAGGATTGGGAGTAGGCTAATTGGTCTATAGGATGTTGAGATATTGGGAGGTTTGCCTGGTTTTGGGAAAAGGATAATAGTGGAGTGTTTCCATAGCAGAGGAAAGTGGGTGGTGCGTAGGATACAATTGTAGATATATGTAAGGAATATGACTGCTTTGGATGGAAGTTGTCGAAGGATTTGAGGGGTAAGGAGATCATGTCCAGGAGCTTTACGGGGGATTAGTTTTTTTAATTGAAATTTCACTTCGGAAGGATGAATAGCTTTTGGGGGCAAGGAAAGTGGGATTGGTGATGTAAGGAGTTCTTCTACTGTTACGGTGTGGGCAGGATGGGATTCCGGATGTGAAATAAATGTATTGGATAGGTGAATGGCGAACTCCTCAGCCTTATCTTCGTCAGATGCTGCCCAGGAGCCATCATCTCGTCGGAGGGGATGGGAAATGCGGTGAGGATTTAAGATTTTGGTTGTGGTTTTCCAAAGGGAATTGTCGCGAGAAGAAAGGGAGGATAGGTAGGAGTTGAAGGAATGTGATCTGAAGGTGGCTAATTCCAGTTTTAATTTTTTGCAGTAATAATTATAGGAGCAGCGGTCGGTAGGATGTCGGGTACGTTGCCACAATAATCTGGCACGGCGTTTGGTTTGGATTAGGTCAAGGAGGTGTTGGGGTAGAATGGTCTTTTTAGGAATTCTGGAGGAGTCTTTTGGGAAGGAAGCAGTCCAGGCGGCTTGTTGGATTGTGGTAGTAAAGGAATTTACGGCACTATCAAGGTCATCGGGAGTTTTGAGGGATATGTTAAGATCAATTTTATCGGAGATGATTTGGCGGAAAAGGTCCCAGTTAACTGGGCCCCTAATAAATGACGGTGGAGAAGGTTTGGGAACGGGTTCAAGTGAAACATTAAGGATTAGAGGACTATGGTCAGAGGAAAGTTCATTTAGACGTGTAATGGAACAATTGAGGGGACTTAAGCCGCTGTGGATAAAGAAATCAAGAAGATCAGGATTACGGTTGGGATCTGTAGGCCAGTAGGTAGGAGAGTTGGGGAAAGGAGGTGAAAACGTTGGGAATTGAGTGCAGACAGCAGGGTTCGGCCACGAGTATTCGTGGTTCTGGAACCCCATTGTTGATGTTTGGCATTTAGGTCTGCACCCAAGATGAAGTGATGTCCTAAGGAGTCGAGGAGAGAACGGAATTGGGCATTGGATATGGATCGGTTAGGAGGGCAATACGCTGATGCAAGGGTAACCGGAAAGGAAAAGGTTTTTATCACGATAGCGGTGGACTGTAGGAAATCATGTGTAGGTAACGGGAGTAGGTGATGGGAGAGGGATTGGTGTACAATGACAGCAGTACCGGCATGTGCTTTTCCGTCAGGGTGGTCAGTACGATATGTCAGGTATTGTGGTATTTTGAAGTGCTGTTTAGTGGTTAGTCGAGTTTCAGTAATTAGTGCCACGTCAATATTTTTGTCAAGTAATAATGTAGTTAGTTCGTTTGTATGATTCCTAACACCATTCGCATTCCAAAGGAGAATGGATAAAGGTTTATTGGAAGTCATTTAAGGATTTTTCGCGGGAGGGATAAAATGTGATACAAGATTGGTGAGAAGAGATATCAAAGGAGTAACAAGGGATCTGAATTCGGAGAGGAAAGATGTAAGTAAACTGGTGAGATCTGTGGTATTTGAGGGAGGAGGAATGCGGGGAATTTGGTGTTGATAAAACTGTTGATTAGGTGAAGTTTGATTAGGATGTTGAGGGTGGGGTTGAGAATTTTGAGGTATGTGTTGTTGTTGCGGCAGGGTCTCACAATAAGTAACATCATTCTTACCTCCTAATAAGTGTGCAAAAGACACCGTTGGGTCAATTTTTTTTTAAGGTCCTCTTCTTGATGCGTTAGGTTCTCTTCTTGATGCCTCTGCTTCTTCTTGGGTCCGGGATTTTTGATATCTTGATTTGATATTCTTGTAGATCTGACAGCCTTTGTAGTTCGCTGGATGTCCTTCAAGGCACAAAGCACAAACTGCAGGATCCCGTTTCGGTTTTGTGCACTCCCCGGATTTGTGCTGCTCTCCACATTTCACACAGCGCGGCAGATGATGGCAGTAAGTCCTGGTATGGCCATATGCCTGGCAATTGTGACACTGTACGATTTCCCTCTTAGGATATGGCTTCTCTACTATAACACTTGTGTAGTATATTCTTCTTATTTCGTATATTTTTTCGATCCCTTGATTTGGCTCCAAATCTACGAAAAATAAGGGTAGAGGAACTTTTACTCCTGGCTGTTCTTTACTCTCCTTCTGTACATTTGTAATCTGGCGCACTATGAAACCTAAATTTTTCAATTCTTCTTCTATTGCTTCGGTTGGTGTTGAGGGGTGTAGATTTCTTATGACTACCCTCAAAGCTCGATCTTGCCGTAATTGGTACGTATGAAAATCCGCGTTGGTTTCCGTTAGATACTTCACAATTTTTCTGTAGGTTTCAGCTGTATCTGGTGATATCTTCGTGTCCTTTGTTCTGCTTAGACATGAATAGCTTCCAGAGCCTGTTATTTTGTTCAGTTGTGAGCATAGTAACTGAAAATTGTTTATGTTTTTAACGAATATGGGTGGAGGTCGGGGATCTCTTGGTATTGAAGCGGATTCCATCACTTCTTTATCATTCTGAAGCACCTGATAGGGGTTAGGGGTGAAAAACGGAGATTGTTCGGTTATCTCTTGTGAAGATGTACCTGGTTGATGCTGAAGTTCTTCAATTGTTGGTTTTGATGATGTTCCTGGCTGGGTTTCATTTTCTCTGGAGCTAATAGGCGTTACTGCAGGTGTTTGACGACATTGACGAGGCTTTTGTTTGACAGGCGAAGAACAAGGTGTTGAGCCTAACGGCCGAATTCTCTTGATAGACGCTCTACTAGACATGGCCTGATGGTGATATCGCATATAAGGGAAAAAAAATAAAAAATAAAATAAATAAAAATAACCCTATAATTTATAACAAACAATAAATATCAATTGTTGTTATGTACTCTTGACTTGTTTTGAATAAATAATCTCAAAGATTTCACTGGAAAATAAGCAAATTCTGAGAGACGATGTAGAAACACGACCTTTCACATCAGCTGATCCACTGCCTTCTTCAAGTCGGTCAAATTAAAGTTGAAAATGAAGCGTCATTTGTAATTAAACGGCCAACAATAACGAAGAAAGTTTTGAAACAAAACATCTAGAGAATACATTGATCTTTCTAAGCCACCGGTTTATTTTCAACATATTCGAAACGATTCTTTATAAAATGCACTCAATCAGCGAAAAAGCTGCACTGGCGTAGTCGCCTATAGTCGTCTGCCAAGTTATTCGGTTCTCATAAATGGCATAATTATAGTTCTACTCTCTTCATCTGTCTGTTGCACATTTCTTCCACCAAATAATATTTCTTTCCATCAGTTCCTTGTTATATAAGCTAATATTGGAACCGCAAGGTGATAAGAAACTATGTAAATTAGATTAGATTAGATCTTTTAATGTATAATAAAACCAAGAATTCAAATCATGTATAAAATCTATGTATAATCAATAAATAAGATTTTTCAATTCACTTACTCAATAAATTAATAATACTAATTTTTATATTGATGTCAACAATTATTCAGGAATGCACTTATAAGCGTATTTTTAAATTTTCATTGCAGTTAAAAGAACTTCATTCAGAGGGTTATTCGCTCCTCTCAAAAAACGGAAATGGTGAAACTGCTCTTCACATAGCGGCCTCTCATGGTCATAGAGACATCATCAAGTATCTTATTACCTCAGCTCCACATCAAATAATAAATTTAATAGAAGACCAAAAGTGAGTATTGATTTCTTGATGTAATGGTTAACGTTTTACCAAGTTCGATTCGATAACTGGATTAAGAAAATGCCTTAAGCCATAAAACAATCAATAAATAACGAATATCATTATCAGATCCTTTTACACCAGTCATAGCATTTTTTACATTTTATAACATGATTGGACCTGAATAGATAATTATTCCGTATTTAATTAAAAAGCATATATAATGATTTTTTTTTTAATTTATTTTAAATGATATTTACAACTGTATACAAAAAAATACATCTAGTAAATTTGCACATTGGTATAAAGACATGGAACACATGTTGAGAAACTACCCATTGGTAGCACTCTAATAATATGTCTATATTAGAAGATCACGTGGCCATCATCTTTTCAGACGCCTCGGAGGGTTATCAGGAATCGAATAGGAAGCAAGGTTAGAGACAAGAGGGTTGGGATGGTTATGAAGTTTATTATGGAAGGACAGATATCTGGATTGGGCCAAATCTGATACATAAGGAACATTAAGGTCATTATGGATAATTTTATTTGTAACAAAGTAAGGAGCATTGAGGATTTTACGAAGGATTTTGGATTGCAAGGACTGTATGCGAGAGGAATTTGAAGGCTTGGTGGAGCCCCAAAGCTCAACCCCATATAATGATTTGATTTTTAAGTGACCCTAATAAGTACATATGAAAGTGACGATGAGTTCATTACCAGAAAATTCAACATTCTACTTACAGAACAAATAATACTAAATCAGCATATTTTTTTCACGTGGCATACTACAGATAGGCGAGTTTTCATTTCAAATGTTTTAAAATTTCTTTATTAAATATATGAATATTTAAAAATCTAGCAAGAGTTCATAGATATAAAATTCAATATTATTATTTATTATTATATACATAATTATAATAATTATTTTAAAATAATAATTCATTTATCAATATGATGTCATTACTATTGTTTTGATTAATATCTTTCTTAGGTAGTAAAAAAAAAAATGAATGAAACTGTTGGTAATATTACATCTAACTCATTTTAAAACTATGGCCCATGTCGCTTTTAATAAAGTTTCAATTTTAATTTGAAAATGTGTAAATTTAATATAAGAAAACTATATAAAATTAATACAATCGTTCTACTTGGTGTTTTCACATTTTCTGTAGAAATATATGTCATTGGTTTTAGAAATTATAAAGATGTCTGCTACTATGCGTATGTATATAAATATGTTTTATTATTGATACCTTTTATATGTTCTTTTTAAATTTATAAACTGTAAACTACCTGCAATTTACAATGAACAAAAACATGATGCCCGCCACTTAAGACAAAACCTAAAAATGTGCGCCCTGCTAAAAAAGATTGGAAACCCCTACCCTACTCTAAGACATCTATCCCAAATTCAATATATAAGTTCGTCTAATGACGGATTGAAATTAAGGGTAATCAACAGTTCCTCTTCAAAAATGATGAAAACTAAGGCCATTGTTATAGGTTACAGTTCTCTTCTTAAATCCAACTCATTCCTTCCTCCTTTAGCCATCAATGATCATCCAATGACATTCAGCTCCTCCGTTAAAAACCTAGAAATCACCATTGACGAAAAACTCTTCTTGAAACCCCATATCGCCCTCATTTCCCGAAAATGAATAAGTACCCTTAAGTTATTTCATCGCTCCCGTCACCTATTCTCACAAACCATCCGCATGTTCCTTGCGCAGGCGGATCTACGGAGGAAGGAAGGCTTTCGGGCTGAAGCTTCGCTTATGTTAAAACATAACCACGTCTTATGAAATAAATATTAAAAACCTATATGTAAAAGTATTATTGTTGGTGTAATTACATTTAATAGAACTTCAAGAATCATTTAAATACCATTTCATATAGGTAATTAGTTAGTTTAGTGACAACTGATTCCCGCTTCTTACAACAGGGAACAAGTAGTTCGCCTACCCGCTACCTGGCAACGCCATATAAGCTTGCCCGTGCAACATACTAACAATTTTATTTTTATTTCTTATTGCTGTATGATAAAAACGCTCACAGTTTAATGGCGATAACATATACTGATCAAAGATTAAAAATACTGTTATTGTAACGGCTCTTAATAGCCGGTTTAGTCTTGGCGGAATAAATACCGCAGGAAAACCTCAAGTTTTTAGGTCTTAGGATCTCCACCCCTTCAGGGTGTATATTATAAGGGATGTGACGGTCCAGGAAAAATCTGTCACTGTTCCAGTGACGCCATTGGAACAGTGACAAATTACCCGTCCGGTGACAGTGGCAAAAATCTTCTTTTCCATAATCTTATTTAATATATGAATACATTAATATGTTATATATTATATTTATTAACCAACAGTTCTCTTGTCCATTAATTAATTAATATGTAGTTGTTTTATCACAAAAAAAGACATTTCGTTACTTTAAATAATTAATCCCTTTGTGGAATCAGAAAATTGTGATCTTGTCATAACTGTATTCGATATATATAAACGGATTTCCATGCGATTGCAGTGATTTTATAGAGAAAAATAAAGTCAAAATTCACAAAAAGCATATTTGAAAATTAATCTAGATAAAAAATACACTTCGTATATTTACAAAAAAAACGCCGATATACATAAGTATACATAAATCATATTTGTGAATATTAAAACAACGATGTGATTTGTTTTGTTGAATCCCAATATCCACAGAAAATATATATTACTAACTGTCAAGAAACTAGTATTTTTAATTTTAATTACAGTTTTATTTGTGTTTGATTATTATTTATTCATTTTCGTAATCGATTCATTCCATTGAAATATTTTTTAAACAATTTGATACTTGGCAATAGAGAAAAACCCTTTTACTCAGGCCGCTGGGACTCAGACACATTGGCTGCTCCGTGACTGTGAATGTCACAGTTGGGCCTTATCGGTATTCCACTCCATTTATATGGCATTCTGATGAAACATTACCTTTATAAATTGTAGAGACGATTTAGAGAAATCAGCTATTAAATGAATAATATCTTTATCTATTTTAATAACATCTAAATTATATTTTTGAAGTAGTGTTTTATGTATATTTTCTAACTTTATATATGCTTTTAGTTTTTTAGTAATTGTTCTTACTTCAATTTGTATATTACCTCCTAATGTTTATATTTCTGTTATATATTTTTTTCTCTTGAAATATAAATCAATTAAATTATGTCTTAACGGTTTTATATTTAATTACGTTTACCCATTATAGATTAAGTAATAAATTCATCAAGTTATGAATTCATGAAATTTCTAATTTTACTTATCTTTTATTCCAATTTTAGATTTTTATAGCAAACTAATCAATATATAAATATTTCTGTTGAAAAATATGTAGGGAATTTTAATATTTATACAATAAATAAAAATATATTGGAGCAGTGAAGTACCGATAAGGCACAACAGTGACAGTCATAGGTACGGAACAGTCAGTGTGTCTGAGTCGCAGCGGCCTGATTAAAAGGGGTTTTCTATATGGCCAAGTATCAAATTGCTTAAAAAAATATTTCAATGGAATGAATCGATTACGAAAATGAATAAATAATAATCAAACAAATAAAACTTTAATCAAAATTAAAAATACTAGTTTCTTGACTGTTAATAATATGTATTTTCTGTGTATATTCATATTCAACAAAACAAACCACATTATTGTTTTAATATTCACAAATATGATTTATGTATACTTATATATATCGGCGGTTTATTGTAAATATACGAAGTGTATTTTTGATCTAGGTTAATTTTCAAATATGCTTTTTGTGAATTTCGACTTTACTTTTCGATATGAAATCACTGTAAATGCATGGAAATGTCACAAATCCGTTTATATATTTCGAACACAGTTACAACAAGCTCACAATTTTTTGATTCCACAAAGGGATTAATTATTAAAAGTAATGAAATATCTTTTTTGTGATAAACCTACTACTTATTAATTGATTAATGAATAAGAGGATGTTAGTTAATAAATATAATATATAACATATTAATATATTCATAAATTAAATAAGGAAATGGGTAAGAAGACTTTTGTCACTGTCACTGGACCGATAAGGTCCAAGGGTGTGGAACAGGTTGTCACTGTTCCAAATCGAGACTCTGTTACACGTCACTGCTCCACCAGTACCGTCACATCTCTAGTGTAGACATTCACGCAGTTGGTCAGTATATGATTCGTATACTCTATTTGGTCTTAAACAAACTGCTTTTTATTTCACAATATCCAAAAACCGAATTCCTCTACTCTTACTCCATGCAAGTAGGACGCTGATCCGTCCGCTTGCAGTCCTATATACTAAGTCAGGAGATTGATCTCTCCGTTAGTATTTCATCCTCCCACAAGTCTGGAGATTGATCCCTCTGGTTGTGGCTACAATCCTTGAGGAGTGTTAAGCTTGATCTCATACACCGCAGACCGAGAGTGATTGGGTGCTGATCCGCCTGAAACTTAAGGTCATCCTTCTGTACATCTTCCTCCATCCAATCAGTCGTCTTAACTCCTCTATAATGAACACGCACTGTCGAGGCCTGTCACTGTCTATACCTGTCAGCTTCTGTACTATACCTCGACAGTTTCTTTCTTTTTCTACCAAAGTAGTAATCCTTATTTATAAAAAAAAAACCTTTCGAACTGACCTCCCCCCTTCAAAATTCAATCCTGGGCCCGCTAGTGGTTCCTTGTATCCTCTCTTATTTTCACCCACTTTAACTATGTCTGTGTGGTGTATGGAGGTATTCCGATAGTAATCGAAAACAGATTGAAGGGCCTTATGAGCTAATTCTTAAGATTTGTCTTCGGTAATTCGAGGCGGTCTCATGTGTCCTACCTTTTTACGACGAGTTAAAGTGGCTCTTCCGCCGACAATATATCCTTGGATCTTACCTATTCCAAACACCCGGCACTCTTTTTACATCTATAGTCTCCTACAGTTCAAACCCGTTGTCCACTCCCAGAAAACAAGATCCCGTGTTTCCGACCATTATACACCTTCTAATAGAATTAAGACTATTTGAACATTTCTTTAATGCCCTATCCACTGCCTTCTGGAACTCCTTACCATCTGATATCCGCCATGCCTCTTCCTTGTCCTCATTCAAATATCATCTCTACCAATTCCTTTTCACATCGTAAAATGACAATGTACAATCATGGAATAAATTTTTATTGAGGTGAATAATTGTTAAAATTGTTTTTTTTAATTTTAAGAATAACTCATAGTGCTTATAACATTTTGTTTTTTATTATCCCTGATTTCTGTTTTTCTTTTCATTTCGCTAATTTTTTTTTGTTTTTTTCAAAATGGTTTTGCTTTTTGTTTTTTATACATTTTCATTAAAGATATTGTATATATTCTTTAATATAGTTTTTGGCCAGACAAGTTTTTTTGTTCTCTTGTTCATAATCGTTCATAATAAAGGAACCTTGTCCCTGAATAAACTTTATTTTCTATTCAATTCTATTTCTATAACGACCAAAACTTTCAAAGGCATTAAGACAAAAACTGGTCTAAAACATTTATGTTTTTCTGACCTTTTACAGAGGACAATCAGCTCTACATAAAGCTGTTGAATCTAAAGACAAGAATATATGTTGCATGCTTGTAGCAGCTGGAGCATCCCTGACAACTACAGACAACAATGGAAACACTCCAAAGGATCTCTCGGTAGATCAAGACATATCACTTTACCTTCAAAGTAAGAAACATATTTATTTTTAAAAAAAGAAAAAAAAGACATTTACATTATTTCATCATAATATTCAGTAAATGGTAACTATTTGATTAAATATTAGATGTATCAACTGATATTAATATAATAGATGATCCATATTGAATTTGTTGCATTTGTATTTCTTTTTCGCAATTGTATTTATTCTGGTATGTAACTATATCATTTTGAAAACCATACTACCATCTATTAATGATGTATCAGGTTGTACTATAGAATGGGTTTATTTAAATCACTTTTTACTTTATGCCTTTTTTACAGGTCAGGAAGAATTTTTCATTAGCAAGAAAGAGAATTTTAAGAACAGCACTTAAATGCTTAGGAGCATAAAATATATTTGATACCTGAATGATTTTAATTGGTAAAATAAAATAAAATATTATCAACAAATAGAATTTAAAGAACTAAGTATAGAATGAAATAATTTATATCAATTACAATAAATTCTGTTACTTTATTAATATAATTAAATCATGTTCACTATTCCAACCTTTCCTACAAATGTGCCCTAAATCCTTCTGTAAATTTTCCTACATACATATTCATATAAGGAATATAGAATTCAAATGTACTACGAAGTGACATAAGTAATTGTATTTATGTTATAAAAAGGTGCCTGGACATAAATAAATACATGATCTTGATACAATCAGTTCTAAACCCAGGTGAGCACGATCAGTACATTAAAATTATTAGAAGGAACTTTCATAAACTTAGTCTGCTAAAGTTCACAATACAAATAAAATGGATCAAAGGTCACTCTGGTATCGAAAGTTGCAAAATTACTGACACATTAGCTAAAGAGGCTGCACAAAGTGAACTACCGTCGACGTGTGCTATAAAACCACAGTGTTTTTTGTATAAAATATGACATCAGAGAAAATTCAATTTTATGTTGGAATGAATGATGGATTCACTCAGATAAGTAACCCATTTTACACATATTTATTCCAAGAATAACAACAAACAACAAGAATTTACATAAATCTAATCTACATTTTAAGTGTAACCACCAGTATTAGAATCTATAATATTATGACATATTTTTTTTTCGTTAAAGTATGTTCTGCCCCACCTTCTTAATTCTTCTGCACAGTACATTGTAGTCGTGTACTCCTCACACCAGAAATATTATAAATAATATGGAAGTGGTTAAAGATAATCTGGTATGCTCTAACTATTTACTGGAGAGTATTTCCATATCGGTTCTACAAGAACGTGAATAATAACACCTCTACGTATCTTTAACGTAATTTCTTTCAACGAGGTTCATTAGGCGTCCTTTATTGCACAAGCGCTCCTTTTCCCTTTCGTCGTTATTCAAACTGCAATATAACCAAAAGGAGTTCATTTTGCTACCTAACTGAATCTGTTGATAGATATTTATGTAATAGAAGAATAAAAACATTGATTCAAATATAACTGATTCTTTTCTATTTCAGATACTTTTCCTGCTTGAAAATAACTGACCGAGCTAATCTGCAAAAGACCCGATTATATATTCTCCTATAGTATATTCTCTCCCTGTCCTCCTATCGTTCTCTAGCTTGTCATGCATTATTTCCAAAAATCGGGACTTTTTTAAAACGCCGCGGGACGCGGGACAAATTGTTAAAAATCGGGAATGTCCCGCCGACGACCTTAGCTAAGGAGCTTGCAATAGGTAATCAAACTTAAGCAATGTTGAGTGTAGTAAGTACTTGGGATAGGTGACTGCTTACATTGGGTGAGTATCCGCCGAGAAAAGGCATGCTACTCGAGATCTCCATTTGGGTATATATAAGTCTATCAGCGTATTGGAGGAAATTCACATAGACCAGGCTTAGGAGTGATGACTCTACCCTGTATACTTTAATCGGGCATCGCAGTGTGATTTTCTAAGATTTCAGTAGCACCACAGAGGTTCGTCCACAGAGGATCTGTTGTGGTGAAAGAAATATATGTCATCACGGACCTGCTGACTCTGAGCAGCTCTAATCCTCAGATTTAGAATGATTTGTCATTGCCCTTGAACTGTATTGATTCGATGGGAAGAGCACTGCAGGTTGATCCCAAACTGGTCGGCTATGGAGTTACGGGTAGCCTACTGCACCACCATTTTTATCAGCCTCATCAGGGGCTCTAGATTCCTCACTTTTTCCTTGTTTATTAAGCTGAAACTCACTTCCATTGTTATAAAATTATCTGGTAAGAAATTCTGTTTTCTCAAAGTAACTTTATTTTCAGCAAAAATAATTACTACAAACCTTTTATTTATATTTTTCTTTTTGTATTTGTGGATGTATTATAATAAAATCAGAAATTAAAACGCACTTTTTATTTATTAACAAAATTCTGCTTCTTCAAAACAAAAATATTCGAAGTGATTTCCAAGTGATTTCATTCCAAGTGACAATGAAAAACTACTTTTTTCACACAAATTATGGGGAATTGATCCTAATTATTGTTACTTAAAATAATAATAATATAGGGCAAAGTTACCTATCACCGACACTTTAATAAAATGTTTCAAGTTATTTACCTTAAACTTTTTTTTATTAATTAACCTATATGTCAAAGTTTTTTATACAAGTCCAAGCCTGTTCTACAGATTTCGCTTATATAATAGCCAAAATACTAAGTTTTCAAGTTTTAGAACCCAAAGCCGATGACAAGTGTTTCACCAATTATTGACATGCAAAAACCAATTTCGTCAGAGAAAGGAACCAGTTATTGACACCATATTCAACTATCAAACGAGTTTATTTTGAAAAAATATATGTTATTTATTGGTACAAAATTATCACACATTAGTATCTGAAAACTTTAAAACTTATTACTCATACCTAGATATCATAAAATGGTATAAAAAAGGAAATTATATACTATAGGAGATAGGTATACTTTGGTACATTTCAATCAATATTTAGAGAATAAGGAAATCGAACTTTCGGATTTTCTTATTTCCAAACATTACAGGCTACGACTTACGTTCCTCATTAAGTTCAAAACCATTCTTCAGCCTGGTGTAAGCTCTGAGAGGATTAGTAGCCACCTTTCCTTCTGAAACAGTGAGACCTCAACAAGCCATGATTGCCTTTTTCCTTTTGGTAACTATAGTGGCTGAAATGAAGTCACCCTTACTAATTGTTTGATCTATGTCCATTTCTACCGAAATTTCGACCTCTTTCATGTTTTTCTGTTCGTGACCTTCTTTAATGTTCTTCTATTCATGTCCTTCTCCTGTATCCTTCTGTTCCTGTACTTGTTTCTTGCCCTTATTCTGCCCATGTTCATCTTTCTGTTAATATAATACACTTTGAGTCAATTGTTAGGGAAAATTATCCTTTTGTAGATCCAATTATTGACACCTCTAATACCTTTTCTTTTGATAAAAGTTCACATTTGAAAATGATATCACATCATCAGGAATTGGTAACAAAACAATTGAAGATCATAAACATTACAGGAAGAGATACATAGATATCCAGGATTTAATTTTGGTGGCTTCAGCCGGAAAACTTTTTTTCGTATAAGTATAACGATAATTATTTTGGAAAAAAAAAAAAGAAAGAAACTATACGAAATGGTGTATTGGTGATTTTCGAAGTCCTATTAACTGTAATTACAGGAGTAATAATACTTTAAGAGAAAATGTTTTAATATTTTATCACAAGATATGGTTATATTTTACCATTTGGAGGGGTGAGGAGGGAGGGGGTGGCTTCAGCCTGAAAACCCCCACCCCGTAGATCCGCCGCTGGGAAGAGATAATAAAATATGAAAAATTATGCCTTGCGTCAGGAATGCACATCACCCCAAGATCAATGGCGCAAGAGCCAGCCCTCTCCCTTCCCAAGATATTTTCTTGCTCACTTTTCTTTAAAAACAGGGCAAGAAAAAGTATAATTAGAAAAATTACAGATCATATACAGAAATTTTTCATTCCGAAAATTCATAACCCCGTTGAAATGTGGCCCCCACAAAAATTATTATGGCTCAACTTGCGCTATGCCGTTCATTCAAATATTATGAAATCTCCTACTGGGCATCCCTACCTCAGCTTCTTAGCAAACCCCATAAGGTTCTGGCGACTGAGGTGAAGTGATAACCTAATTTATGATCCAATGGAGATATCATCTTAGCGGGAATCTGTGGCTGATTAATGAACTCTTGAAAAGGTGCCCAGTTTGAAATCCTAGATGAACCTTAACGCTTATTTTATCAAAGTTACAATGGTCAATAATTGGTGTCTTAACGGTTTTTAATCCTAATCATTATTGCTTGCTATCATCATTGAAACTAAAAGAATTTAATTAGGATTAGATGTTAGAAACATTCAGTTGGTCAACAAATACCATAAGGATCAATTCTCTTAAAGAATAGTATTTGTCCACTGTAATTTGAGGTGACAATTTGTAAATATTTATTTTTTGGAAAAGCAATATTTTTCTTTATATATTCTTTCATAAATAAAAAGTGCATCATAATAATTAATTTATTACAATACATCCCAGGATACTGAAAAATAAATAAAAGGTTTGCAGTAATTTATTGTGTCAAATATTGTGCCGTTTGTCCAATATAACCTCATTATTTTGAAACTTTGGGGGTGTAGGTAATGAGCCAAACGGCCCAATTTTTTTATCGATTTTTTGATCAAATTATCTTATGATCCAAGTAGAAAACGAATGGGTGTTTAAGTGCCTAATTAAATAGACGAAGTTTGCCCCCGTCTAGGTTGAAAACGCCCCAATTCTTAGAGTTTTCGTAACAAAAATAGTTGTAGGTTACGATGAGATGAAACTATTTACGAAGTTTCAGGCGGATGTTAATAAGTCCATAAAAAGGGGTCTGTACCACGGACTATCACTCAGTTGAGGTCTCATAACTTTGGTAAACAGACATTTTGTGAGGTAGTGACGGTAGTGACGTTATTTGATTTTAATGACACATGTTTGTTTATCAAAGTTAAGATAAATTCTTTTTCTTCTTTCGTTGGGAATGTTTATTGGAGCTCTTTGGTTAATATAAATGATTGCATTCTGGATTTGGAAGGACTATTTAATAGAATTAAATCAAAGGATGAAATTAATCAGTATAATATAATACTGGGTGGAGACCGGAATGCAAGATTAGGTTCCGGGGATATAATTGATGATTTACTTGTGGAAGGTTCATATCTGTCCAGTCACAGAACTAGTTTAGATAATGTTCGTAACGCTAGTGGTAAAAAATTAATTATTAATTATTTTGAAGAATATGGTTTAATATTATTAAATGGTAGGACTCCTAGCGATATTCATGGTCAGTTTACGGATATTACAGCTAGAGGGTGTTTTGCTGTAGATACTGTTTGGATATCCCCGGCTTTGATCGATTTCATTAAAGATTTAAGAGTTTTCAGAGCTAAGTTGTTATTTACCAGTGATTGTTTATTTAATTGAGTTAAATAAAGAAACAGCGAAAATTGAGGTGAAGAAAATAGAAAAGTATTTATATTTAGATGAAAAAAATATAAATTCCTTCTAGTTATTGGTTTCAAACGCAAATGACATTTACTTTAATTATAGTTCAGTGAATGCTTTGTATAAAAATATGATTAAATATTTTTTGAACTGTGCACTCGAATCTGGACTTCTCAAGTGAAAATGTTTTGTTACTTCCCGTAAAACCTTTATTGATAAAATCTGGTTTGGTGAGGAGTGCAGGAAAGCATAAAATACTTCTTAGAAAATGTTTTAAAACATTAAAGCGTGAAGGTTATTCGCAGGTAAATGTCAATTGTTTTTATCGATAGTAAAAAACAATACAAACAAAGTGTAACTGCAGCAAAAAAAATATTTGCCTTTTAAACTCAATATCAGATGTCAAAGACGTTAAAATGTTTTGGCAAACTATAAAATATTTTAATAGACCGAATTTAGTTGAAGTTGCGGTTTCTACTGAACAATGTATCTCATTTTATAAAGAATTTTACGTAGGAAAGGACTCTATCTCTGACCTTGTATCCACCAATTCCGCTTTAGAATTAGGTAATCCTATAACTCTGGACGAATTTCATAAAGCAATTAGAAAAACTAAATTGAAAAAAAGCATTTGGCACCTTTTCAGTTGCCGTATGAAGTGTATAAACTTATGCCTCCGAATAGGGACCACCAGGGGGGGGGGGTGCCCACAAGGGGATTTCATGGCGCAAGTAGCGCAATCAAAATTTTTGAGGGGGCGCGTTTTGAATTTTGAGGGGGGCACGTTTTGAATTTTTGAGGGGGGCACATTTCGACGGGGTTATGAATTTCAGATTGAAATGTTTCAAAGCAGAGGACAAGAGGAAAGTATAGTACAGACCACTGAAAGTGTAATTGTATATGACCATTGATTTTTAAAACGAGGGGTTGACTTTGATTTTGATTGATTTTACTTTAGCTTGCGCTATTTTTTAAAAAGAAGAGCAATAAAATATCTTAGGAGGAGGGTAGGGGGTCATGCGCCATCGACCTTGGGGGAGATGGGCATCCCTTGGGACCACAACCTCCTTAACCTTTTTAACAACGTTTTTCAAAATAACATTGTTCCGGAAAAATGGGGTGAAATCCTCCTACTCCATTTAAGGCGATGCTAAAGAGCCCGCTAATTACAGGGGAATAGCTCTAATGAACTGTGCCGTTAGATTGCTTACAACTATTCTAGCTGATAAAATTACTCAATGGGCAGAAAAATCATAACTTGATTCCAGTCGAACAAAATGGTTTCAGGCCGGGTAGAGGCTGCGTTGATAACATTTTTACTTTAAATTCAGTAATAAATATCTCACTGAGCTACAAAGGCAACACTGTCTTTGCGACATTTGTTGACTTTAAGCGGGCATTTGATTCACTGGATTATACAAAATTGTGGCAAAAACTTCATTTGGATTGGGTTCTAAAATAATAAAAAATTTATGAAAATTATGCAAACAAGGTACTATAATTTTAAAGGATGAACTTAATATGTAATCAGCTAAAATCAGTCAAGGAGTATAACAGGAAGACTCCCTTAGTGCTCTAATATTTTCGTTATTCATTTCAGATATAATGTTTCATTTTAAAAATTATGGATGTACTGAAATAAATATTGACCATATAACAGAAATATCCGGGCTGATATATGCAGATGATTTAATTTTACTTGATAATGGTTGGGTCGGAACAAATAAGAAATTAGTTTCCCTGCACAAGTATTGTCAATTAAATTCGTTAATTGTTAATGTTGAAAAGACAAAATGTGTGATTTTCAAAAAAAGGTGGTAAGTTATATGAGTGAAGTTAAACCTCTCTCCTATAAAAAATTTAAAATTGAAATAATTAAAAAGTATAATTATTGTAGTGTTTTTTCATTATCGGATTTATTTTCTCAGGCAGCAGATAATTTCGTCAAAAAATCACAGTTGGCGTTATATAGAGTTCGGGAAATCTTGTTGAGGTCAAGATCAGACTCTCTCGATACCAAATTTAAAAATTGTTAAATTCCATGGTGTATTCCGTTCTTTTGTACTCAGCGGAAGTTTGGACTTCATTATACTGTCACAAATTAGAGCGTGATGCTTTGAATTATTTTATAGCAATATATTATTGACCACGTAATACTCTTAATAATTATGTGCGTTTCATTATGTAGAAACGGGTCTAGAATCATTAGAAATAGAAAGCGTTCTTAAAAGAATGATTCTCTGGTACCGAAAAGTAGACCTAATGGAAGATAACGGATTACCAAAAGTTTGTTTAGAAATTAAAAAAAAAACATTATTCTAACTATTTAATTAACGCAGAGTATAATTGGTATTCACGATTGACAAATATATTGAGAGCCATAGACTCGGTTGAATTATTAAACATTAGACATAAAGAATTGTTTGAAGAGGAATTTAAAAACACTATTGAAAAATTAAAATAAAAGATTGTCACGTCCTTTCAATGTTTCCTCTACCAGCGTATGGCGAGCAACAATTGTATACATTTCACGTATTGATTAGGCAAGATTTGTTACCACAAGATTATAACAAGTGCAGAAATTTCTCCCAGAGGTTAATTCGACAATGCACACGAGATCCTAATTTCCTGAACTGCATTTTGGTTACTGATGAATCTGGCTTTACAAGAAACGGGATTCTTAATTTTCGAAATACCCATACTTGGGCTGAAGAAAACCCTCATACGATTCCTGTTGGACATTGCCAACATACCTTTTTTTTAAATGTCTGGTGTGATCTTCTAAGCTACATCATCGGCTCCTTCTTTTGGCCACCTAGGCTGTCAGGTATATCTTACTTGCATTTTTTGCAAAATAATCTTCATGAACTCCTAGAAGATAATCATATACTCCTAGACATTAGCAAACGCTGTGGTTTATGCATGACTGTGCTCCAGCTCACTTTTCTAATTGTGTCAATGATTATTTAAATGCAACTTATGGTGACGGATGGCTTGGTCGAAACGGACTTGTTAAATGGTCACTATGATCTCCGGATTTAACACCATTAGATTATTTTGTGTGAGGCTGGATTATGTCTATGGTTTATTCTGCGTCAGTCGGCACGCAAGAAGAGCTAAGAAATCGGGAAGAGCTAAGGAAGCCTCAGTAAATATCAAGCACGCATATATAGCATATATATATATATATATATATATATATATATATATATGTATGTGTGTGTGTGTGTGTGTGTGTGTGTATCATCTGCTTATTACTCCTAATCAAAAGAATTCATTTTGATTAATAAGAGAAAAGTCAACAAAAATTAGTATTAGCATATTATTAAAATACTTCAAAACAAAGCCACAAGTCCCCTGAAATACTAGTAAATAATTAATCAATCAATTTTTCACCAATTCAAGCATCATTACCGAATAAAATATGATTATGAAAATTATTACAATAATTGTAAAAACTTCCAATATTGTCTTTCATTTACTTTAAATCAATTACATATAATCAATACAATTCATAAGTAGCCTGAGTATAATGCTAGCTATATTAAATACTTCATTAATATTAAGCAAGTTATTCATTAATGGATTCGTTGTGCTAAATGTTGCATTCGACAAAACGGAGGCCTCAGTTATATCTCTATGATGTAGGACACAAAAAATAATATACCAAAAGGCAAACCTCCAAGTTGTAAGAAAATTTATTTTTCATCTTTTATTATTCATATTTCTCACACACACAGAATCTTTTCTCTAGCTATAAATACTTTTTTTTTTAATTACATAAGTTATTATGATTCAATAACACAAAAAAAAATTATTCAAATAATTTTAAAAACTTTGAAACATTTGGCTAATTTATTTATTTTGCTTTTTATATTTACGAGTTGAGATATATCAGTGATTTTTTTAGTTTTATTCATTTATAGATGAAACCACTTTTATCAATATAATTTTTTAATGTTAAAAATCAGTACACATCTCTTAAATATTATTGATAATTTTATTTGTTATATTATTTTTATTATTATATTATTACAATGTCTGTGGGCTCACTTTCAAATCATTCTTAATGTCCAGGATTATTGAAGAACTTTTACACCTCAATATCAAAAACAACTTTAATGATAACTTTTTTCGATTAACTAAATTATCTATCCTCAGAGGTCATTTTTTTTTTTTATGTTATTGATGTCATATATAATAAAGTAGTTATTTAAGTGAGTTAAGAATGTTTTGGTGACTTCCAATGATAGCTTAACAAGATTTATTTAATTAATGTACATCATTTCTTATTCAAATTTAAATTTGTAAGACTATTAAATTTTTTTTTAAAAGATTTTTAAATCCAACCTCAGAGTTGATCCAGAAATAAAAAACAGAAGTTGATTTTTTTAAAATTACTGTTAGAACTATGAAACAAAAAAAAAAAAAAAAGATTAAAAGATGTATGACATTACAAAGGGATTTAAATTAATTGTTATTACAAACTCTTTTTATAATTTTTTAATTATTGATACAAAAATCTATCAGCAATAATTCAGTTAAATGTCAGTGGTATTTTATAATACAGATTATTAAATAAATTATAAATCTATTTACTTACAATGTGTACAATAAAATATAAATCATTTTACATACAAAATGTAACATATTTTTAAAAACATTTTAACAACAAAATTCAATATAGTTTGTTGTTTATAAACATAGACATTTGTACACATGAGATACATTTTAAATGAAACTAATAACCTAAATATCTAAAGTACCTATTTCTTTGGGTAATTAATTAAAAAAACTAGGTTATTTTAGGTTGTATCAGTTCATGTCTTGCAAACCAGGGCGAAGTTGATAGTTCGTTGGTCGTCGATTAAACTTTTTTGTTTGAGGTCGACTGACATCAGTAAGAGGAATTAAACTAATTTCTGAGCAAAGAAGTTCTGAGAGAGGCTGAAAATAAAAAGTCATTTAAAATTTATTAATATCAGTGAGTAGTGGATTGTGACATAAGATTGTAGCATTTTTAAATTAATTGAGTTTTATGCTATTTAATTTGATACTTCAAGAATGTAGTCTCTGGGTTAGACATTCCCTATACCTTGAACATCCTTAAAGTAAGGAGACCCATGTTTTTTTTTATGGTATTCATGGGATTCTGCACCTTCACTTGGTTCCTGAAAGCCAAACTATTAATCAACATTACTACATTAAATCACATTCTTGCTGAACTCTGGGAAGAAATAAGGAAAAAATGACCCAAATTATAGAAGGACAAGTTATGGGTTCTTTACCATGACAATATGCCGGCTCATTCTGCATTGTCTGTTAAAAGGTTTCTAGCCAAGTACAACATCCCATTGCTAAGCCATCCGCCTTATTCACTGAATCTTGTGCCATTTGACTTCCTATCTGTTTCGTAAAGCGAAATCTGCATAAGTACATTGAAGCAGTAAAAGTGAAAGTTGCATCCTAAAGTAGCTGACAGAAGCTGCCAACACTGTTTCAGATAATGGAGGATTCACAAGGAGCGTTGAAAAGATAGAGGAGAAGTGTATATTGAAGGTGATAATAAGTAAACATGCATGAAATCAAAATAAAATGTTTTACAGCACCAGTCTCATTATTTAATAGCCACACCTCGTATACCTAACATTGAAAATCATGTTCTATGCAACTAATAACTAAAAAAATGCCAATTTTCTCGGGTGATTGGATGTTATGATGTTAATAATTATACGATTGGTTGTTATGATTTTTCCGTGTGGGCCATGAGCACGTCGATCCCTAATGGGTCCATTGTGCGCCAATTTCAGTTGGTCATTTTAATTAAAACGTTAATCCTGTCGCTTCCGCGTATCCAAGTAGGCTGATTGGATTGACCGACTCATAAATACCACCAGTCTCAGTCTTGTAAATCAATCACATCTGCATATGATGTAAAAAGCTGTTTCATTCTCCTCCTGACAGAATCTGCATAGCGGATTCGTCATTACTCGGAGATTGAACATATAGTAGTTTAGCTTACAGTGACCTGTACAGATTGCTGTAAGCTTTTTAAGGGCAGCTCTGTCCATGTTCAGTAGCAGTTTACTTCTTTTTTCACATGGACCCTTAAAGAACAGCTTCGAATGTCGCTGTTTCTTGTCGGTCCAGTAATTACTAAATTTGTTCCCATAAATCTCCCTGATCCTACACTTGGCAGTGCTGAGGCTGATTCCACAGACAGGCTCGGGAGTTACAGGAATGGTATCTGAGCCTAATCTGGCTAGTTCATCAGCCACCTCGTTGCCTGGTATGCCGGAGTGACCAGGCACCCACTCCACTGCAACTCTATTGTGCTCAGTTAGTTCGTTAAGTGCTGTGTTGCATTCCTTAACGACCTTTGAATAAACGTAATAGTTGTTAACAGCACCTATTGCTGCCTGACTGTCGGTATAGATGGTAATCTTTTTCCCAGTCACATTGCTTCGCAGTAGGTTTTGTGCGCAATGGCAGATTGCCAGTATCTCAGATTGAAATACTGAAGCATGTCTACCAAGTGGTATAGAAATTTTTTCTTTGATGTCTTTGCGATAGATGCCTGCTCCAGAGCCGACAGCTGTGTAGCACTTTATACCACTATTTGGTTTATGTTGTCTGCTGCTGTCTATCCCAACCTTATATTTTCGGTTCTGATATTCTCGGATTAGAGTGTCAGAGTGCATAGCTAATACTCCTTCACGTTCAATCCTATTCAGCAGTATTTTGTGTCCTCCTTGGCAGGGGACTGGTGAGCAGTAAGTTGACTTGCTTATCCTATATAATGTGTTTGTTGCCCTAACCTCCACCTCCAGCTGCAGCGGAGGCATGTTCAACATTACCTCCATGGCAGCCGTCGGTGTCGTGCTCATTGCACCTGTTATTATACATGCAAGCTTTTTAATCTTTCCTAATGAGGATGAGTTGGCTACAGTCTTTGCTTTGTGCCACCATAGCAAAGCTGAGTAAAGTATGATAAGTCTGACTGTCGTTGTGTACAGCCAGTATATCATTTTTGGTTTGAGTCCCCAATTCTTTCCTATTGCTCTTTTGCAGGCCCATAGGCATTTGAGGGCTTTACTTTTCACGTTTTGAACGTGTTTAGTCCATGATAGTTTATGATCCAAAATGACTCCAAGGTGTTTAACTTCCTTGCTCAGTGTCAATTGGATACCATTTCACTGACTGCCCTGCCTGTCCTAAAATAAAATGGTGAAATAATGAATTTGACTTGAGTTGATTCTTCAGTCACTGTCATTCACCATTAAACCTAATTTACCCATAGTTGGCCTTCTATTAAAACTGAATAATCAGAAAATCATAAAACAGAATATAACTGGCTAAATAAACACTAAAAAACACAAGCATAATCATTTTTTTTCAAGTTTTTAAATAAAAGTTGATAATTTAACTTGTGTAAACTAGTCACAAGAATTTGAAGGATTGTAATTAAACTGCCAAAAATAATGACGGTCTTCAAATAAAATATGCTGAGGAACTTTTCTTTTTCAAAAGCCATAACTTTCAAAAATACTTGCAAGTGATTCCATAGAAAATCCACAAGAGCAGCGGAAAAGCAATAGTGACAAGGACTTCAAGTGTTCTACCATATCCATGAGGAGTAATCATAAATGGTATAATTGTTTTCATGATTAACATGTTCAAGAAAACTTAACGATATATTAGATTAATTGCAGTCAGGAACATGTTTATCTTCTTGGTTACACCTCTTCTGTTACAGAAACTTTGGAAAGGAACATTCCTCCTGCAATTCCCAGACACTGTGACACTTCCCCATAAATATATCCAGTTTCATTCAACCACACACCTAAATACTCAAAATCCTGTGTTTTCTCCAAAAAGTCCTTTGAACCTCAAGATTCTTATTACTATGCAGGGTTTTTCATCTATTATAGGTTGATTACCTACTCTCATTCCTTACTTCTCAGGATTTTTTCCAAATAAGTTAGTACAATGAACAGAGAGCTGAATTACTACTTTTCGAACCTACATCAATAACTTTGAGATTTCATTCCTTACTAAGCTAAAAATTAAGAAAAACTAAAAAAAAAATGTATTTTATATAATTGGTTCTAATTTGTTTATAGAGGTCGGGTTTATACCATTTTGTATAACATATAGCCATAAATCCTTATTACTTTTCATGAGAATCGGTGGAGTCATCCTGAATTTACCACAATTTTTCTGGATGTCGACAAAATTTTGAAGGATCCAGCCCAATTTAAAAATTTCATGCAAAAAATTTTTATTTTTTAATTGCTATAAAACACGTATTTAAGGTTTTTTAAGTAAAAAAAAAAACAATTATCAACTTTGTTTCTCCATAAAAAATATATTTACCCCCACATTGCTACACTTTTTGCACAAAATGTTTGCCTAGGCTGGCAGAATTATTTGGACAAAACCACAAAAATTATGATAACTTCAGGATTACACCACTGATTCACACAAAAATTATTAAGGATTTAGGGCTCAATATGCAGCCCCGACATCTGTAAATAAATCAGAATCAAAGGTTTCAAATAAAATAAAAATATATGAAAAGTTTTTCTTAATTCCCCTCTCCAAAAGGAATGTAATCTAGAAGTTATTGATGTGGATGGAAGAACAATAATTAAGCTCTCCAACAGTTGCAACAACATATTTGGAGAAAATCCTGAAAAGTTACACATGCTTTAGTTAATGGTCACAAAAAAAATCATTCCCCAAGAAAATCAAGTACTAAAAGTGACTATTTCTCATTCATAAATCAATTATAAATAAAAATTTGTATTTAAGAGTTTAAAAAGACACTAACAACGAATCTAACTTGCCTTTGCATAACAAACTACACCTATGTTACTGGAAGATCCTTCTGGGTTTTTGAATTTATGATACATTAAAACTCATTCAATACACCAGTCAATATTGTTTTCTTATTACGTACAAAGAAAGAAATTAATTGGTATATAATAACCTAAACATCTAGGCAAAGCTAATTTAAAAATTAATAGCAAATTTTGATTGAAATTATAAAAAAAAAAAAAATGTCTTGGATCCTAAAGCCCATTGGAATGAAAGCCGGGACAAGTATTCAATATTTTTCAATGTATCATAAAAAAAAAAAAAAATTGAAATCAGTGACCCACAGACTAACAACCCCTTGTAAATATAATTAATCACAAATTCTAAAATATTTAATTCTTAAATTAATGTTATATGAAAAATTACTCTCAGATTTGAGCTAAAAGATCTAATCTCAATGCACTCAAAAATGTTAACACATTACCTTAAATGGGCTCATTTAGCACTACACCAACAAATTATTTGGTAGCTAGATACATAACAATAATATAATATTGCATTGTGTTATTACGTAAAACTAATATTATTATAAAAATGAACAGAAAAAATATTATTAATATATTACCACAGGAGATATGTGACCCAATGATTTGATTTGTGAACTGATTTTTTCAAACTCCTGTGATACCTCTTTCCTGTTAAATTTCTCTATGGCAGCACTTAGCTTATCCAACTATAAACAAATGAAAAAAAAATTGTAAAAACATAAAAATATAAGTAAATCTTGATAACTGAAATTTCATAGGAATTATAAATTACTTTAAGCTAAAAATAGATTAAGTAATAGAGTTATGTTTTAAATATTTTTTGAGTTGAAGATGTAACAGTTTTATTGGATACACAGCCATAGATTCTTTTATATCTTAATTAAGGATGTGGCTACAATAAGGGCCCAATAATCTAAAAATGATTTTAGTTGTGAGCATTCATCAAGTACTTTACCCAATTCCGGTTGTGCATAATTTACTATTGATCTTACAATGCTCTATTCACATTCTCCTTTTTGGTTAACAGTTCTTAATAGGATCAAATAATAAATAAAAAGTCACTTTTACTTTTTATTGTTTGAATCAGGACTTGAAATGAAAAAAAAATTATTTTTAAAAAGTTTCGGTATCAATGGAATTTTTTTGTCGATAGTTTTTCAGTTCTTTTGGAACTAGAAGTTTTACTCTAGAAACTTTCAAAGTAAAGGTTTTACAGAACTTTTATTTTTTAAAAACTTTTATTAAAAAGTTCTGTCTATTTCGTTAAGAATTTGATCTAAAAAATGACTTTTATTCATAGCTATTCTAACAAGAAAACACATGATAATCATGTGTAATTCTTTTAAGACAAATTATAAATCTAATCTAAGCCCATTAATGTTTATTTTTCATTTAACAAAACTTTTTTTTAAGAACTAATACAAGCTATACTTTTCCGTAAATCTGGAACTTTATTACAAAAAGTTCCTAATAACTTTTATTTAAAAAAAAAATTTCTAAGAAGTTTCACAGAAACTGTTAATATGGAACTTTTTAAAAAAGTTCTATACAAGTTTTAACTCCTTGTTTCAATTTCATTACAAAACTTATAGGCTCTTTTTGCATAAAAATTAACACATACTCGACTAACTGAAAATTTAAAAAATGGATTATTAAAAAACATAACAATTATAGTAAAGGCAATTCATTTTAAAGAAATAGGGAAAAAAATGAAAAAAAAAACATTTTAAAGGTATTATTGCTTAGAAAACTATACTTTAAGAGAAATATAAGAGGTTAACTATTCAATCATCTCAACTTACAACTTCTTCACAAATTGTACTCTTGTCTGCAGCTCTATCAGTTTCTAATACAGTTCGTAAAAGAGGAATAGCATCATCAGGCCTTCCAAGATCAGCAAGGGCAGATATCTTAAACGCAAATTAAAAATAAAATTTGTAAGTAGGCATAAACAAAACAATAAACACACACACATATATATATATATATATATAGAGAGAGAGAGAGAGAGAGAGAATTACCTTTAAATTTTTTGTTGTAACATAACCTTGTTGTCTCAATGAGGTAATAATTTCTAATGCTATATCTGGTGCACCTTGCTGGATAGCCAGAGCAGCTGCAAAAGTACCTGCTCTTCTCATTGGAAAATTACCTGCTTGATTAAGTTCTGACCATAATTTCTTAGCATAGTTAAAAGAATCTGGAGTGTTCTAGAAAAAAAAAAAATCGAAATTTTAAAATCAAACATAATTTAAAAGTGATACTGTGATATAAAAGGACAGTCTGTTTTTTTATTTGGGATTGCCTAACCAGTGTTGGGCGTTATTTAAATAAATTACTTGAGATTTTATCTAGATAACGAATAATAGATATATTTTTATTCATTATTTCTTGTTCGACGAGCTTTGGACAAATAATTATTTGTTATTTGTTATTTACAAATAATATGCATTATCTGTTACCTATTATTCGTTATTTAAGATAAAAATACGATTCGAATAATCTTTTTTGTAATTTTAGAATTTCTTCAATATTTGGGTCTGTTTATATGTTTTGGGGGGGCCCTTTTTATGAAAATACTGTCGGATTTGAGATAGCGCCCCCGGGCAACGACTTTTGGTAACTTTTCGGATTTAATTGATATGAGGGTCGACTATTATGTTTTGTGGTGCGCTTTTTATGAAAATACTGTCGGATTTAATTGATGCGATCCGACTATTGTGTTTTGGGGGAAACTTTTTATGAAAATAATATTAGATTTTAGATAGCGCCTTCCCACCTCTCCCCGCTTCTACTTTTTGTAACTTTCCGGATTTGACCGGATACCGACTTACAGTAACTTTTTCGGATTGCATTGATATGAGTGTCAACTGTTATCTTTTTGGGGGCGCTTTCTATGAAAATAATGTCGGATTTAAGAAAAGTCGATAGGAGAAGGGGCGCAATTTAAAATCAGCAAGTATTTTCATAATAAGTGCCATAATAGTCGATCCTTATATCAATTAAATCCGAAAAGTTATAAAAAGTCGATGCCCGGGGGCGCAACCTCAATTCCGACAGTATTTTCATAAAAAGCCTCCCCCCCCAAAAAAAATAATAGTCGACCCTCATATCAATTAAATCCGAAAAGTTACAAAAAGTCGATGCCCGGGGGCGCAACCTCAATTCCGACAGTATTTTCATAAAAAGCCCCCCCCCAAAAAAAAATAATAGTCGACCCTCATATCAATTAAATCCGAAAAGTTACAAAAAGTCGCTGCCCTGGGGCACTATCTCAAATCCGACAGTATTTTCATAAAAAGTGCCCCCCAAAACATAATAGTTGACCCTCATATCAATTAAATACGAAAAGTTACAAAAAGTCGGTGCCCGGGGGGCACTATTATCAAATCCGACAGTATTTTCATAAAAAGGCTCCCCCAAAACATAATTTTCGACCCTCATATCAATTAAATCCGAAAAGCTACAAAAAGTCGGTGCCCGAGGGCACTATCTCAAATCCGACAGTATTCTCATAAAAAGGGCCCCCAAAACCCTGATATGGAAGAAATCTAAAAAACTCAAAAAAGTCGCAATGCAGTGGCGTAATCTTAAAATGGAGATTATTTTTAAAAACTATGGATAGGAAAATATACACATTGCCCAGAATATAGAAGAAAAAGAAAAATAGTGTTAAATTATTCGAAATTCATTTGAAAAAACTCGAATAACAAATAAAAAGATAATAGGTAACTTAAATTTATTTATCATCTAGATAAAAGATAAACAGAATATTCGTTATTTGTAGTTGAAAAGTTCGAATAAATTATTCGTTATCTATTATCTTTTATTTAAGATAAATTTTGCCCAACACTGCTGTTAACCCACGAAAACTAATGGACTAATTCACATTCATTTGCTGTATGATTTTTTTTGTTTCAAAATCTTTATCCAACATGCACCCGGGAATGGAAAACCAGACGTGTGCCTTCCAGTATGATGATTTAGACATATGTTTAATACTCAGTAGTTGACCATAGTATATTGAAGAAAAAGATACTATTTGATTATAACGTTGATGTAGACTTCATTGATGAAGACTTACATAGCCCTAAGACTATGGTAAGGAAGGGCTTCTGTGCGAAGCTATCACAGGAATAGACTGCTGAGATTCAATCTATTTCTGTAATAGTTTTAATTTTTTTTATATTCTTAGATTTTTTTTCTGGCCTATAACAAAAGCATTCTTAACTTCTCAGGATTTTATCCAAATCTAAAGTTAGTACAACTGTTGGTAAGCAGAATTACTGCTCTTCTAATCCATTTATTTTCTTTTAAACTAGAAATTAAGAAAAACTTTTCAATCATTTTTATTTTATAACTTTAGTTCTAATTTATTTATGGAGGTTGGTTTTGTACCATATCGTGTAACATAAAGAGCCCTAAATTCCTAATAATTTTTGTGCGAATCGGTGGAGCCATTCTAAAGTCACTGGTGTATATCAACTTTGAAATGAAATGAAACGAAAATAGATTTTTATTATCCTGGAACTGTTGTCCCTTTGGAACAAATTATAGATACAGAGAAAATGCCTATGTGGCCATGCATTAAATTAAATATTTACAATTCTCATTAAAATTAAAATATTGGAAGAAGAAAAAAACCAAAACACTAAAAACATACAGATAGATATAATACAAACATGCGAAAATAAAATAACATAAGTAAATAAAATCATTTCTGGGAGAACTTAAAAAGTTCTCTTATCTACTTTTTCCTCGCGCGGGCTCATTGCCGCGTATGGGGAGCGTCCCACGGGTGGCGGATGTGGGGATGGTAGGTGGAAATTCCTTGGAAGTTCCTCCCGGCTAAGTCCGATGGACTCGCTGACCAACAATGAGAGGGGCCCTCCAGACTTGCTGGAGGGAGGAGACCTCCAGAATTGCTGGAGGTAGGGGCCCACCAGACTTGCTGGAGGGTGTGACGTAGGATTGAACGCCCTACTCACATATCTTTAGTTCACCAAACACCACAAAAAGTCATGGATCTCCCTAAGGTAAAACGCTCATTATCCGGAGGTAAACTAGTCCCCCGTTCGGGTCTCCGGGTGGGGACTGCTTTAGGGGATCCATGGCGCAAGTTGAAATATAGGGATTTAAATATTGGTACGTGGAACGTAAGGAGTTTAAACACAGCAGGGGGGCTAAAATCGGTCGCAAATGAGGTAGATGGGTACAATTTGGATGTCGTGGCTCTGCAAGAGGTTCGCTGGCCAGGGGAGGGCTCGATGAGGGAAGGAAAGTACACTATTTGGTACGGAGGAAGCGGGAATCATTGTTTGGGTACCGGGTTTCTAATTAGGAGTAGATTACTATCCGCTTTGAGGGACGTACAATTCTTTAGTGATAGACTTTCGGTAGCTACATTTCAGGGACGTTGGTTTAAAATCGCATTAATAAACCTACATTGTCCGACCGAAGACAGTGACGATGAAGTCAAAAGTGAATTTTACGATAAACTCGAATGGGTTTATGATAAACTACCGCGAAACTACATGAAAATAATTGTAGGTGACGCGAACACAAAGGTAGGAAGGGACGAAGTTTATATTCCGACGATTGGTAAAGAAAGTTTGCACGAATATAGTAATGATAATGGGATCCGTCTGATAAACTTTGCCATCTCGAAAAACCTGATAATTAAAAGTATGACGTTTAAACACAAGGATATCCATAAATATACTTGGACATCACCGGATTTGCAAACACGAAATCAAATCGATCATGTCTTGATACAACACAGCTGGCAAAGCAGTATAATTAATGTACGGTCTTATCGCGGAGCAGAATGTGGGTTGGATCATGAATTAGTAATCGCGAAACTTCGACAAAAACTTAATATAAAAAAGAGAAATGAAAACCGTTTTGATTTTGAGAATTTTAATTTGGACAAATTAAAAAATCCATCAATTAGAACCCAATTCGAGCTAGATGTTAAGAATAGGTTTGAAGCTTTAGAGCTTCCTGACGAGGACCACGAGGATATTGACAAGTTATGGATAGAGATCAGGGATAATATTAAAGCGGTCGGTAACTCGGGTCTAGGAAAAAAGGAAAATAAGAATAACAAGAAGTGGTTTGATGAAGATTGCTTAAATCTGTGCGAAAAAAGAAAAGCCGCTAAATTAAAAGCTCTAAATAATCCTAGCGAAGACAATCTGGAATACTTCCGAATCTCAAAGAACGAAACGACAAAATTGCTCAAAAATAAAAAAAGGGAGTATCTTAAAAATAAAATAATTGAAATAGAAACTAATAGAATCGAAAATAACGTAAGAGACATGTACAAAGGTATAAACAGATCACGTAAATATGTAGGGCCCGTAACGTCTGGAATTAGGGATGATAATCACAATATTCTGACCGATCCGGTTGACATATTGAATAAGTTTAAGGACCACTTTGACAATATTTTAAATACGGGAAATTATGATCTGTGTCCTCCTTCTGAGTACCAGAGTGCTGAACCGTTAATAGAAGGACCAAGTAAAGAGGAAGTTGAAGTAGCTATCGGAAAATTAAAATCATATAAAGCAGCGGGAATCGATAATATTCCTACTGAACTAATTAAGGCATGCGGGGAAGCTGGAGTTTCTAAAATACATCGGTTGGTTAAAAAGATCTGGGTGAACGAGAAATAACCTGAAGAATGGAAAGAATCTATTCTTATTCCGATTCACAAAAAGGGTCCAAGGACGGATTGTAATAACTATCGAGGAATTTCACTCCTTCCGGTATGTTATAAAATATTCACTTTAATCTTAACCAGTCGAATCACGGAATACGCCGAGGAAATTATCGGAGACTACCAATGCGGATTTAGACGGAATCGTTCGACAATTGATCAAATATTTTCTTTACGGCAAATATTAGAGAAAAAATTGGAGTATAACGGTATTGTTCACCAGCTGTATATAGATTTTAAAAAGGCTTACGATTCTATTGACCGCCAGAAACTGTATAATATTCTAATCGAGCAGGGGATTCCAAAAAAACTAGTAAATCTAGTCAGGATGTGCTTGACGGAGACACTCAATAAAGTTAGAATCGGTAATAATTTGTCTGAAAAATTTGAGGTTCGTTCGGGCTTAAAACAGGGGAATTCTCTTTCGCCTGTCCTGTTCAATTTGGCATTAGAACATGCCATTAGGGAGGTAATGTGAACCGAGAAAGGGTTGGATCTGGGCGGGACAACATCCGTGCTGGGCTATGCTGATGATCTGGTACTGTTAAGCGAAGATGTTGAAACTATAAAACTAAATACGACAACGTTAATGAAAGCCGGTGAAGAACTAGGACTCGAAATAAACGTGGATAAAACAAAATATATGGTTAGCTGCAAAAATGGCGATACTACTGGTGATATCGATATAGATGGTAATATGTTTGAACAGGTAGATAAATTTAGGTATCTAGGTTCTACGATAACTAGAAAAAACGAAATTCAAGAAGAGATTAAGGTTAGACTGAAGGCGGGGAATGCTTGTTATTTTTCTGTGACAAAACTACTTAGTTCGCGCCTCTTGTCCCGAAACGTAAAAATTAGAATCTATAAAACAATTATCTTGCCTACAGTTCTTTATGGATGCGAAACTTGGCTGCTTACATTAAGGGATGAGCAGCGTCTTAAGGTTTTTGAAAATAAAGTATTGCGTAGAATATTCGGACCGAAGAAGGATGAGTTAACCGGAGAGTTCAGACGGTTACACAACGCCGAATTGCGTGAGCTGTATCCGGGTAATATAATTGAGGTAATTTCATCGCGGCGAATCAAATGGGCTTGTAAAGTTGTTGGGCTTAGTAACGAGAGAATTCCTAAAAGGTTAATATTTGCTGTGCCGAATGGTAAGCATCAGAGGGGTAGACCGAAGCGAAGGTGGGAAGATTGCATTAAAGCCGATCTGAAGGGACTGGGTTTGGACGGCGAACGGTGGAGGGAGGTGTGTAACAAGCGATTGGTGGTGTCGGCATCGAACCTTCGGGTTCGCTAAGCCTTATTATTATTATTATTTATTATTATCTACTTTTCATGATCAATCAGGTTGGGAAAAAAGTAGGTGCTTAAAAAGGAGAGATTTAAATGAGGAAACTAATTGTGCATGTTAGTTATCGGGAGGGATGGTATTCTAGATGGAGACAGCTTGAATTATAAAGGATTTGTCAAACGCAGCAGTTCGGTGAGGAGGTGGATAGAGGTCGGGTTTACGAAAATACGGAAGTACGGGTTTACGGAAGTATGGATACCAGACCGGTTTTAAATAAATATTATATTTGATTATAATTTGGACCAATCAACGTAGCAATGTGGGGTAAATATTGTTTAGGAAGAAACAAAGTTGATATTTGTTTTTCGTACTTCAAAAAACCCTTAAATGCAAATTTTTATAGTAATCGAAAAATTTAATTAAATGACCTCCGTATAGAATAAAGGATGTTAAATAAAAAACTTAATTAAAAAAAATTGTTAAATTTTTTTGGACAATTAAATTATTGGATTAATATTTGGTAGTTAATACAATCAAAATAATGTACCAAAAACATTATAGCACTATAACTAAGCCATTTATGAGTAATGAATGTTGTGGTCGAGACCTGTAGGCACCTATGCCAGTACCGCTTTCCTGCCGCTTAAGTGCATTTTCTACGGAACTGCTTCAAATATTTTAAAAAGTAACCATTGTTTTAGAAAGAGAAATATATTGTCCAGATGTTTTATTTCAGTACGTTTTCCGTTATTGTTGGCAGTTGAATTACAAACGATGCTTGATTTTCAACTTAAAATTTTTTTTGTAAATAAAATTTAATTCACTGGTGTTTTTTATTGCCTAAGCCAATTATATTTTAATATTTTTTCATGTTTTATTATTCTCTGGCTATCCAGCTTTAATAAAATATCAACTATGACAAAATTAAGCCAAATGCTGATTCTCAGTGACCAAAAAAAACGCAACTATTCAAAGTCATCAGTCCACCATGTTTAGACACCATTTTGGGCAGTGCGTTCACTTTTTTTTAATAAATAGTTACAAGGTACACAACGATAAGCAATTTATAGGGATGTGGGTGGGGGCACGGTAGGGGCATCTGTGTAAGCAAAGTCTAGCTCAGAAAAGAAAAGTCACATGATACTGATATATATTCATGGTACATATATGTCTGTAATGTTGCAGCAACTATTTCCTGAAAACCAGAAGTACAGTATACAGAAGTAATATACCCTTTATATTATCGATTTTACACATTTTTTTTAAAACGGCTTGAACGAGTTTGATTAAATTCATTATATCAGAGTAAAGTTAAGAAGTTTATAATATAATTCAGGTCTTATTCTCGTTGGTGTTTTTTAAATGTAATAAATAGTTTTTAATAATAATAAATAGCGTTTAAATGCCTAATTTTAAAAAAAATTTCCTCTAACGTACCATTTACTTTTTTTAATTTGAAATGATTAACTATTTCACATTGCAATTTGCTATAAAAAATGGCTAAATATAAAATAGAAAGAATTTTTCAACTAACTAGAGGAGAAATAAGGGATCTTAATGGATTATAGTAGTAATAGAGTGAATGAAGATACCCGAGCACAATCTGAGCTCGACCAAAAGGTTAAAATAGGCTTCCATGCATAACTCATGATTTTTATAAATGCTAGCATTGGTATTATTTAATATTTACTTGAATAGATTACAGCAATGAATAAATTAAAATTTTTATGACATCACTTTTCAGCTAGGCTGTTCTGTGAACAGCACACACCATTTTGTGAGATTTGGATATTTAGACTAAGGGGACCTTAAAACATGTATTTTCATTGAAAACTTGGATACAAAATTTTTCATGTTTGCAATGTGTTATATATAGGTAAGTGAAAGTAAAAAACAGTTGAAAATGAAATTTATACACACACAAATACTTACCATCTTATAACAAGCACCAAATGCCAGAACAACAGCATTCTTTGGATATTTCGATCCATGGAGCTGTTTGTCTTTCACAACTTCAAAAACATTTAAGGTCTCCTGATACATACCATGCTTCAATAATAAGTCCATAAGAATTTGAAAGGAAATAAGCTGGTCGAAAAATCCATCCTTATTAAGCTCAGTAAAACACTACAAAGAAATAATTAAAGAAACAATTGATTTAGATTGGAAAAAAAAATTCCTGAAATAAAATTATAAGGCATTATGGTATGTGTATTGCTGATGTTATGCAAAAATGTTCTAGGTAGTATATGAAACAGCTAAAAAAAAATTATGAGGAAAAATATCTTTTTAATACAAGAAATAACAATTCTCTAAAAATTATTACTGAATGTATCCATTATGAGATGGATAAAACAATGCACAATTAATAATAATTATGATTGTTACAATAGTAATGATGAAAGCAGTTAATGTGAAACAGGATTTGGAAATCAATTTGAGCCTTATCAAGCCAAACATTGAGGCTCTGATTGCAAATAATGGGTATGGGCAAATATGGATTTTTACATGTGTATCCACATTTATTTGATGAACTTTTCACTTTATTGTTTCTTTAGTAAATTTACTGTAATATTAATAATTAGTAATTTTTTTTTAATTTGAAAATTAATACATTCTGTCGCATTGGAGGGCATTAATATGTAAAAATTAGAAACAACACCCTTTTCATACAGTCTCATTTATTTCCATAGGTTCTCGGAGTGCTCTGCACCATATTCATTTAAAAGATACTATATTAAAAATCGTGTTGTTCCTAATTTTTACAATAAATTACACAGTCTACCTATTTACTTTACTTTTGATGGCACTAGGGTCCTTGCAGAAGCCTGGCCTCTTCCACAATTCTCGTAGAACAAATCCTGGAGGGAGCATTTCGCTGTGTTTTTAAATTGTTCACACACACAAAAAAGTAACAAGGTAAAACTGTTGCATGCCATTTCAAAAGGGAAAAGAATGGACTTTTTTGAAAAATTAGAAATTAAGAAAAGGATTGTAAAAAATGACGCAATATGCCTGAATGTGCAAATTACTCAATTTGAGGATTCTACACACATAAAACTAGTGGCGCCAAATAAAAACAATATGTAGGGATAGCCCATCTGGTCAATAGTTTTATTTTTATTTTTGAGTCCTCATTTGACAAGCAGGAGAGGAGGACCACCATCAGTTGGGTGATAACCATTTTTATTGATTAATTTATTAAGATTTGATTTTAAATTGTTTTTTTTTTTTTTTTAGCTTCAATTTTTTTATTCACACCTGTCATAATGGTAATGACAACCAGTGAATGTGAGATTGGTTGCAAAATATAATGTCATGAAAGGCATGAGGAGGATCAGTGCCCAGCGGCATCTCACTCGGCGTGATATCTACATTAGGCGAGGAGGTCCCTCATCCACCTCCTCTTCAGTCTCCTACAGACGTTACCTGGGATATTCGTAGTGGCCATGTCATTTATAAGTATATTAGCATGTCCTTGTAAGTTGTCATGGAATCGTTTGTAATGAGTTCGTTAACAGTCGGCATATGGAGGTCAGTATTTAAGGTTATGTTGCTAACGTACCAAGGTGCTTTTGTAATTGTTCTGAATGTTTTTGCTTGAAAGATTTGAAGTTTGTTTAAGTGAGTCTTTTTAGCAGTTCCAAATATCTGTGATGTGTAAGTCCAAATAGGTTTTAGTAAGTAATTGCACGTGTTCAATTTCTGTCTAAGTTTTAGTTTTGAATTTTTCGAAAGAAGTCAACTCAGAATTCTTAACCTTTGATTCAGCGTTTTTCGTTTCTTGATTAAATGTGGGCCCCACGTCATTTTTCTGTCAAATGTCAGACCAAGATAGTGAACAGTGTCTGTCTGTGGAATCTGTGTATTGTCAAGGAAAACTGGAGGGCATGTTTCATGTCGAAGCGTAAATGTGATGTGCTGTGATTTGTCTTGATTTAGTCGGATTTTTTTTTTAAATTGTTAAATTTTAAATTAGGTTTTATTATTATTTACAAAAGTTTTTATTGTTGTTGTTAATTTTGTTATTTTACCTAGCCTGATGAAAGTCTGATAAAAGAACGAAACCGCGTAGGTGAAGAATAAATGAAATATACAGGAAAACATCTTTTTTTTTGTAAAATCAGCATCTTGCTTTTGTGGATGACGTTATCATTACTGGTCGCACACGTGCATCCTCAATAGGAGCTTTCGAGGAATGTGAATAGGCCTCAAAAATGATGGGACTCAATATTAATAAAGCCAAAACTAAATTATGAAGACCTCCTGAGGTAATTGTTGTGTAAGGAATGGTCTTAGAACTGGAGAATACTTTTTTGAGCAGGTACATGAGTTTAAATATCTTGGGGCCAATTTAAACGAAAAGAATGACATACAAGCAGAAATAAAGTCACACATGATGGACGGAAATAGATGTTGCTGGGCGCTCGGAAAAGTACTTAGGTCAAAGGTGTTGTCCTGGCAGTTTAAGGTAGTATATGTTAGCGTTATTAGACCAGTATTGACATATCGAAGTGAGACATGGGTTCTTACCAGGAAGTCAGAACAAGTGCTGAACGTAAGGGAGAGAAAAGTCCTGAGAAGGATTTTTGGCCCCTTGAAAGAGAGAGAGAGAGAGAGAGAGATCAGCGGAGGTGGAGAGATCAGCGGAGAAACAATCAAGTGCTCAGTGATCTATACAAGACCCCAGATATTGACACCTGCACCAAGATGAGTAGAAGTAGGTGGCTGGGGCAATTGCAGAGGGTGGAGGAACGGCATAACCCGAAGAAGCTTCTGAAGAGACACCCTAGTGGAGAATGAATAAGAGGGCGTCTCAGATTAAGTTGGCTGGAGGACCTACGGACACTTGAGTTCGAAGGTGGAGAAGAACGGCTTTAGACAGGGAAGAACAGTGGAGGAGGCCATAACTCTACCTATTACTCATATTAATTATTTTGTTTATTACATAAACTTTTGTTAGAAGTTAGTATTTTCTTTATGAAGACAGGCATAAGAGTTCAGGTGCTACACGCACTTATCTGATAAGTAGAAGTGGTACCTGGTGAGGAACACTGGGAACCCTAGTAATACAGCAGAAAAGTAATAAAACACGTACACAGTCAAATTTACTGAATAATTATTAGGAACAAGATCTGAATATCTAAATTTACCAAGAAACAGATCGCAAAAATCAATTTTTATTTAAGGTATGTGTTTAAATTAAATCAACACACTTATTATAAAATGAAAAATAACGGCTTCATTTAATCACATTATTATTAACATTCATACTAGATAAAATTGTATATAAAAAATAAATAACTTAAAATGTCAACACTTATTCTGCCACTATTATACTAAGCTATGAACATTAAAAACCTACCTCTAAAGCTTCAACAGGTTTGTCCAAATGATAATACATCCTCATCACAACAGGACCAAAGATAAATGTACCAAATCTTGTATCCTTATTTTGTTTGGAAAATCTAAAATAAGAGAAAGTTTTAAACATGGATATATGAAACATGAAATAAATACTGATACAGAATAGGATTAAAATTTACTTTGACATCATTTTGTACACTAAAGTCAAGTCTTCCTCATTGTTTTCAACCAAATGAACCATGTGTTTTAAATCTTCTGTAAATATCAAATTAGAAGAATCTGGACTAGCAAAATCTACCATTTTTTCCCTAAACTTTGCTTCAACATCAACAAACTGTTCCTTAATTCTGTCTCTGGTCTTGACATATCCCTCCAAACCCAAAGAAGCAGCACTGTATAAACACCTTATACCTAAAATAAATAAGACATTTTCCTATACAAAAAAGAGAACAAGAACAAACCCATATAAATAATAAATATCCTAAAATTTGACTAAGAAAAATGAAAATCAGTATGGACATAAGACAATATAACGAACGTTAAAAACATGAAAATGTGAAATAGTAATTTCAAATGAAGTACCTGTTAAAGATGGTAGTTTAAAACGAACCACTTGCATTTTAAAAATTTTATTTTATTATGAAAACGACGAAACCCTCGTGATAATGTGGAGGTTAAAATATGTTACAAATGGAGTACAGCTAAAAAAAAATATACATATAAGCGATTAACAAAGAGCTACAATCATCAGCAACTTCCATAAATGTTGGAACAACCTAAAAAGGCACATGCCTTTCGATAACACTAATCCAATAATTATTCGAATCATTAAACAATTCGGAAGGGACGGAATAGTTTGAGAGTAGTAATTGATCTTTGGAGATGTGGTAATTCATTCAAAAGACAGATCAAACGGAACGAAAGGAGGACGGTACACCACGGCTAAAACTCACATAGTACACATATTATAGCACTCTCAACGCACACCAATATTATACACTAAGGTCAATAACAGTACACACCCTAGGGGAACATCCCCTAGGTAGCCTCCCCGGATGGGGGAGCGAGTCAGGGAGCTCTGAGGAGGCAGCCCCTCCACCTGACTTGGGAAAAATGGACCGATAACTTTCCCGATAAGGATATAAACACTGCAGATTGGAATATTTTAACATTATATAGACTCTGAGGATTTCAGTGCCTACAGCAGATAATAGACCGTTACAAACTCGACATCAACGAATTCAAGAAGAAGTTAGATGGAACGAATTCAAATTCAAGAAGTTAGATGGAAAGACATAGAAATCCTCGAAAAACGTTTCCACACCGTTAATTAAAACAGTAACAACATTCACACACTGTGTGCGGGATTCATTGATAGAGGACACATTAACAGGAATATTATCGGTTTTGTCCCAGTTAGTGAGGCTATGCCGCCTACGAATTATAGATCTTTTCTATAATTTTAGCATCTTGAGTTGCCACACACCAACGGAAGACGCCAGATAAGAGGAAATAGAAGAATTTAATGATGCCCTACAAAGAAAGATAGATTTATGCCCTCAAAGCGATATTAGAGTACAGATGGGGCACACTAAGGCTAAGATTGGCCGTGGAGGGATATTCCGCTCCATTATTGGATAATTCAGTGTTCACGACGACAGCAATAAAAATAGCCAGGTGAACATTGGAAGCACACTCTTTTCCGGGAAGAAGATTCATAAAGTAACCTGGAGATTCCTGACGGGCGTACATTTAATCTTCCCGATACAAGTCTAACCTGATGAATAGCCGAGCATTCCGGCGTGCTAATATGGACTCCGACCACATCTTGGTGATATCCAAGATAAGGGACAGGATTTCCAGCAGCCATGAAGCAAGAAGTGATAGAAGCAGAAGTATGGACATTGACAAATTCAAGCTTCCAGAGGTGTGTCTGCGGTACCAGGAACATGTGATGGATGAGATAAGACAGGCATACCGGTTGTTGGTCTAAGGTTTGGGCGTTGATAAGAAACGGTTATTTTTAAAGGGAGCAATTAAGAAAGCAGCCAAAGATGTAGTGGGAGAGAGGAAGTGAGAGACTTGAAAAGGATGGTTCGACGATGAATGCCGGTGGGTCTCAGGAACAAAAAACGTAGCATATAGGAGAATGGTATAGAGGAGGTACACCAGGTAGGCAACAAAGGAATACAGAAGATAAAAAAGGGAGGAGAAAAAGTGCACCGAGGATAGAAAAAGACCCGCGAGAGGATGAAACTAGAGAAGATTGAAAAAGTGAGGAGTGTACACGAAACAGAGTAAAACAAGAGAGATAAGCCTTCCAACCAACAAGTGTTGGTTGCAAGGATAAAGATGGGATGCTTTTAAACAAGAAAGAACATATCCTAGAAAGATCTCTGTCAAGGGCCGGTCATTTCGAACGATGCATCAAAGCTAAAAATGTATTTAATTGCGAAAAATAAATTAAAGAAAGTTAAATTTTGCGTCGAACGAGTACATAAACTTTATAATTTGGTTATGTGGTAAGGTATAAAACCACTGTCAACCAACGCTGATTTTTACCAATTTTTTTTCAAAAACTGAGACAAATTACTGTAAATGGCTCTGTGTCTCTGAAATGAGTTCTCTTGGTTGCCCGCATTAGCAATTTTGTTCTTTACATGTATAAACCCACATATACAAGTTAAAAAATTATATCTTTTCTCACATTTTTCGGAATGTATTTCCCCTTTCGATCCTCAAATTAGTGGCCTAATATTCTTTAAATCAGCCGCCATTTTCGAAACCAGCGGCTCTGGAACGGCAGACAAGATTCTTTTAACTCAGATACACATACACTAAATAACATACACTTTTGTAATTCACAATCGAACCTTCGCCTGCGATGAGATCGATTTCTGGCCCTGACTCCATGGCTATTACCAGTTTTGTTACCAAAGATAATTGTATTAAAACATTACCACTAAAAATTTTCAAGCTCAATTTTCATGGAAGAGTTCTTGTACGAACCATCAGTCTTTTATAACTTAAAGGCGCCTTCTCAAATTGATAATGTATTTTATGCATTTAAAATAAAAAATAAAATGCATTTTATGTCTTTTGTATTTTAGAAATAAAATAAAAATAAATGTCGTCGTATTTAAAAAAAAATATAGTTACAATGAAATATATGTGTATTTTATTTCTAAAATACAAAATACATAAAAGGTATTTTATTTTATATTTTATTTGAAATACCGCCCAAGTCTGCTTGAAAAGGGTGGGTAAGAGGAGTGGGGAGTAGAGGCCAGAATCCACGAGCGCTTTGGGTTAGTCTGAGAGCAGAACCTTACAGACGACTCACTCCACTGGCTTGGACATATTAAGAGGTTTGTCTTAACAACTCTTTTGTACATGTTTAGTGTCTTCAAAGTGTTTTATTGACTTTTAATTTAGATTAGTAAATAATCAATTATTTATTTATTTATTTTGTTTTCCGGAGACCACAAAAAATATATGTTGTTATTTCATTATTTAATTTTGTATAGTATCATATACTAAATTAAAATATTTTTTATTTGAAACTAACTATAGATAATATTCAATTAAAATATTTAATATAATATAAATATATTTACCTTGACTGTTGTTCCACTTGATTGTAGCCATTTGCATCTAGAGAAAAAAAAAATGAAAACACTAGTTGCTAGATAGAATCCATTATCAAAAACGTTTGTATATTTGTTCATAACCTTTATAATAATATTTAATACCTGAATTCGTAAGAGTTTTTCGTTCATTTCATATTATTAATATGTTGAGATCATATTTTTTCGAGCTGTAATGTTGGCAGTTCGAGGACTACCTCTGAAGATTGGTCAGCATTTTGAGAACACTACTGTCGTCATTTCTTCAATTTGGTGCAGAATTGGTACAAGCTTAATTGCCATGTAAGTATTTGCGCAATATAATATATAATCAAGAATTTGTTTGTTATGATATAATAAATGTTATTAATACAATTCTTTAAAGTAATTTTAAAGATAAATAATACTAAGATATGTAAACTTATTTCTATGAACAATTTAAAATGATTATTCATTCAACATTAGGTTGAGATAATGATTAGATTTCTTAGGTGTAAATTCACACAGATAGGTTAAAAGAAGAAATAAAATAATAAATGAATTTGTAATAGCAGCAAAGAGAGAAATACTTTATTTAAAGCAGTGCTGCCCTACTTCATAGGGTTGCTCGACACACAGCATACTCATCAATCCTTTTTTTGGACATACAAATTCTTTTTCATATTACACCGCACAAACAATACAATAATACATACAACTACAATCATACAATATATTATATATACATATTTCGGTGAAACCGATACAAGATAATTTCTAAAATTTATAGTGCTAAAAAAAACAAAAACAAAAAAACAACACACACACATATATATATATATATATATATATATATATATATATATATATATATATATATATATATAGTATTCGAATGCCAAAGTTTTAACACCTGAAAATTAGAACGCACACACAACACAGACAAAAAGCTATGATCACTTAAATCTATTATGATCACTTAAATAATTTAAAAATTTACGTTTTATATTATTTCATTTTATAAAATTGTAAATAATTTTTTTTTCGATTCTTTAACATAGTGTTTAGTATAATCATATGAATTAGAATTTGCTCAAATAAGTTAAATTATTTTCAAAAGTTATTTAGATTATATTAATATTGATATTAATTGTTAAACTTTTGCTGTATTAGAACTACTTCCAAAACAGGTGTATATTATTTCTATTTCTACAAAAAATTATAAACATGTTCAATAATCTACTTGTTATTTAATTGTGTTAGTTATGATCACCGGACATATTTTGGAAAAGTATTTGAAATTAGAATATCTTACATAATTTTTTTTTATTGTAGTCGATGACTAGTCGCCGATAACATGTAATTCTTCTATCTCTTATTGGAACTAATTGTTTTTATGACTCTACTTGATAGTCCGGGAGTCCGTGGCAAAAAAGGTGTCATATTTCTTACTAATCTTTGTTGTTATAAATTGATCATATCCACTGGCCTGATAAGAAAGAAGCATGTCTGCCAACCTATAGCCGCTGGAATATAAAATGCCTTTAGAATACAAAAGGTAGAGCAATTATAATGTAATGATTAAACTCCGAAACTATACAGAATAACTTACTTTTCCCAATTTTCGTTATTACACAGCTCTTAATCTGTATATAAAACATTATATGGTATGTTAGGGAAGCCAATGTATACACAAGTATGATATGTTATATACAGATTAAGAGCTGTGTAATATTGAAAATTGCGAAAAGTAAGTTCTTCTGTTTGGTTTCGGAGTTTAATCATTAAGTTATAATAGTTCTAGTCTTTGAATGATTGAAGATAAGATAGTAAACTAATATATATTCTTATAGAAAAGTTAATATTAAACAACTTTCTTCCTTTCTGACTTTTTCGTAAAATGAAAAGATAAAGAGTTGGCGAGTCAAATGATGTTAAACAATCCTTTGTTGCGATGAAACAATCCTTAGTATGAAATATGACACCTTTTTTGCCATGGGCTCCAGGAATATGATCTATTCTGCAATAAGTTCTTTAAAACAGCCAATTCAAAAATATTTAAAATTGACATAGGAATCACAACAAGTATGTAAAGTACTTTCATGCTGATGAAAAAAATATATTCACGCATATATTAATTGAATGACATGTCTAGTGATATATGATGGTTTCACAAACTGACAGACCAGAAACTTGCCTGGGGCGGCAAAATTTTGAATGGAATTTTATTTTCAGAATTAAATGAATTATACATTTATAAAAAGCTTAATTAAGCACAAATAAATATAATGATTATCTCCATTTAGTTTTAGGTATAAGTAATTATTGTTTTTGGAGATCGGTGCGGCTGAAAGGGCAGTATAAAAAAGTCCTTAAACAAATCTGTTCCTGGGTATATACATACTAAAAAGATTGTTTTGATTTCTTTTATGGAAGTTGCCTTTTATTTTCCGTCTCTGAATTATGTTCTCGTTGTTTGAATCGATTATCGGACTTAATTCAAGGATCAACAGTGGTAGATGTGAGGCACGCCCACTTTTGAAATCATATGATTTTTGTTTCCCTCACGATTACTTTCTTTATAACATCATTATGAAATTTTAACTGAATTGTTATCTGGTGTTGTAGGTTATCTATTCTAATCTTTTTTAAGTTATTTTACGGGATTTTAATTGGTGTGAGGTAAGTATTAAGTTGTTTTTAAGTCATCATCTGTGTTTCTTACTTCATGAGTTCTACTTTTTTATCAGTCATTACTTCGTGAATAGTGTATTAGTTAAGCTTTTTTTATTATTTAAGTGCCTGTTGCTGTTTCTAACACTATTTAATTTCTCCAGGGGAAACAGAATGAGTGAATACTGGCTAATATCAGCTCCTGGCGACAAAACATGCCAACAGACATGGGAAACCATGAACAATCTTACCAGTAAACAGCACAATTTGTCTGAAAATTTCAAATTTCATATTCCTGATTTAAAGGTAAGATTAAAATTATTTAATGAGTGTTCAGTGCTTCTTGTCTTACTATTTCATTGTGCCATTTATGATATACTGTGTTTGCTATCTTTATATGTACTATTGTCTTACAACATTAAATAAAGGTGATATTAAGGCTGTTCAGGTTATGAACCAATTATTTTCTAAGGTTATGTCCTTATTTTCTGATTTTTCTTTAATTGGATGAGTCTGGTATACATTGCATTTTATTTTGGTATTTAAGTAGTATTTTTTGTGTTTAAAATAATTCATTAAATCATTTTCACGAATGAAGCAAGTTAATAAAGTAACCCCCTTTTTTTTTCCTATGTCATGATATTAATTAAGATCAATTATTAATATTAACTATTTATATCACGTCTTGATGACAAGAGGGCCAAGATCGGTTTGCAAGAAATACCAGTTAGCAGATTGCGTCTGTCTTTTGACAGTTTAGGTTAGATTTTATATCCAACTAAAACATCATATTAAATCGGATTTAATTGAAATATTAAGAAATTAGCATGGATTACTTAGCCAATCACAATTTCAAAAATTTATTGCATTATATAAAATGTTTTTCAATAATATGGCCTTATATTGATTAAATATTAAATTTTATTATATTAAACATTAAATCACTATATGCTTGCAGGCTTTCATAGATCAGAGTTTAGTTGAATAAAAAACATAATTAAATAATGAGTGGACAGAGATTAGATAATCTTTTTTGAATGTAGTATTAATTATTATAAGAAGTTAAATACGTGTAAAATTCTCTATTTCACTAGTCAATGGAATTTACAGATTTTGTTCTTTACTTTTCTTTAATCTTTATCATTTCATTTATTGTAATTGTTGTTACTGTATTAAATTGGTCTTTACTCTTTTAAGTTATCATTTCTTTTCTCGATTTAACCCCAATTATTTTAATTGTATTCCTATATTATTAATTTAATTAAATCTTAATTGAGGCTACTTTGCTAACTTTTGACAGTCTTTGAAAATGTCTATGCTGCCCAACAATTCCTTCCAGCATTTCATTATGTCAACCAATTGTTCCTAAACCTGTACTAAACATTTACAGCAAAATGAGATATGCCCTTTTTGAGGATAGCACCATTTCCAATGGTCTCTCTTGCATAGAACATGTTTTGACCAAGCATTGATAATTTATTGATAACATAGTTAGTAGTTAATGTGTAAAACATACCCAAATATTTTTTCAAAAAACAATACCTGTATCTTGGTTGGAAAAGAAGAAAAGAAAAGAAAACCTGTAAATATTAATGTTATTAAAAGATCTATATTTAAATTAAAAACTCGAGTTTACGAAAATGTATTTCCACTTTAAATCTTAAAGAAATATAAATAAATAAGTAAAACCAGATACTTAAAGTACAAAAAAAAAGATTAAAGAAAAGTAAAGGTTTCTAATGCCTAAATATAATTTTTTTGATAAATAACTAAATACGGGTTGATGATTTTAAATGAGACGTGACCAGATTTATTTGATAAAACTGTCAACAAATGCTTCTTCTTTTGCGTCACCCTGTTCTTATCAGAGTAGGGGGGAGATTAACCAGGATTGTCACTGGTCTTTGTTTCTTGGTAGGTTTCTGGCTTGTTAAAGATCTTTTTCTCTTCTTTTGCATAAAAGTTTGACGTATTCTTTAATACAAGACTGTTAAGCCTTGTACCGTTAGGTGCATAATCCATAGTTTTTGTTGGGTGCTGGTGTTCTTTTATCTTGACAGCATGGCCAAACTAGTTCTCCACTAGTTAGCTAGTGGGCCTCTAGGACCTTCTTTCATTGTGGGTGCAGTCTCTTCTAGTTCTCCCCACAATTCTTCAGACAAACCTCATTTTGGCTGCTGTCACTCTGCTTTCATGTTTATCTCTTAGTATCCAGCTTTAGGCTCCATAAATGAGTAATGGCAGGTTCACTGACTTACAGACGTGTAGTTTTACGATTTTGTCCACCTCTTGCTTCCCAATTACAATGTTGCACATTTGATGGTACTCAGTATTTTGCCTAACTGATCCTGTGTTGGATTTCTGAATCTACTTTCCTAGACAGTTCCATAACTGTTCCGAGGTAGGTGAAGTCGGCGACAATTTCTATTTCTATTAACACTTGCATACTATATTAACATATATATGTCAAAATCTAAGTACCTTTCTCCTCTCATTTCTTAGATCATCCTCTTTACCTTTATCCTATCCTTAGAACTCTAATACATTGGGTTGGAAGGCTAATATCCCTGGCTTGTTAATTGCTTGTGGCTCATTGGTTCTCCGTCCCTTTGACACATATGATTGTCCTATCTCAATTTTAATGAGATGAATAAGATTTTGTTGGCATATTCTTGAGATCATACTAGGTCATTAAAGCATTCTCTATTATAAGGGCTTCTTGGCTAATAAACCCTTATTACTGTTACAGCCTCATTGTTGTTATTTGAAGTAATTGTGCCTAATAACCCAAAAAAGTACAGGGCATGGTAATAACTTTACTTGGCACATAAAAATTGTGTATATTTTGATATTCATTGTGGAAAATAACCTAAACATTATGGATGTCAGTTTACACTGTTATTGAGACCGAAATGGCCAAAATTTGTAGAACCACTGCACACGTTAACATTTTCAAGTCTAGCAACAACAGTTTAAATCTGGTCTAGAATTCATTTCGTAGCGGACCCACGGAATGAATTTTAGCCTTCCCGCTCTGGTTAGAATAGGTTTGGATGCACCTCTAGAACACCTATCCTCTTTCACCTATATGCCAGAAATGGCGAGGTAGGGGATCGTTTGAAGAAAAAAGTTTCACACTACTGTTTATTAATAAATAGGAAGGTTTGGTGGTCGATCGCTTTCACATACTTTTGTGATCTTGTTCCACCAGTCAACCAAATGTGAAACTACTATAGTTTTACCATAATTTTAGTAGAAGGAATATTTATTAAGCTAATGGGTTAATCTTTCTATGATTTTGATATTTGTTTCTACTTCCTTGTGTTTATTTGTTCCAAATTTAGTATTAGTTATTCATTTGTTTTCATATAGATTATATTGGTAATGTATTTTAATTTTTTCATTATTATGAATGGGAGATAAATATTTCAGGTGGGAACTTTGGATCAGCTTGTTGGACTTTCTGATGATTTAGGAAAGCTTGACAATTTTGTTGATCAGGTCACTCACAAAGTAGCTCAGTATCTGGGTGAAGTTTTAGAGGATCAGAAGGATAAATTACAGGAAAACCTAATGGCTAATAACAGTGAGAACATAAATTGATTTTTTTAAAGTTTTTATAAATTTTAAATCTAAAAATAATGGATAGATCATTGATTGGGATTTACATTTCAGCTGATTTATCTACCTATATTACAAAGTTCCAGTGGGATATGGCTAAGTATCCTATTAAGCAATCTCTTCGTAATATTGCTGATATTATAAGCAAACAAGTGAATCAAATTGATGCTGACCTGAAAACAAAATCTACCGCTTACAATAATCTAAAAAGCAGCCTTCAAAATATGGAAAAGAAGCAGAGGTTTGTTAATATTAATAGTTGTCATTTATATAGTTTTTCCTGCTTAAGATTACTGGGTACATCTTAAGACCTATAGCTCCTTTTACAATGAGGGTTACTTTTCCTCATTATTGTCTCTATTATTTTATCCTTGCTCATCACATACCAGTAGATTACATGAATGTAATGCTATTTATTAAAAAATAAAATACAGTGGGATACTTGCATGGAAAAATAACAACAAAAGAAATGTTCATTCGAGCTGTAATAGCATTCATGTGATAAAGAGCATATCTAAAATTGAGATAGCACTTTTTAAATTATAAAAAAGTTCATATTTAGCTTTATCTAAAAAATTGAAGTAACAGTGCATCTCTGAGGAGTGGTAGGAACTGGAGATGTGGCCTGGGTCCACTGTAGTGTGTTCTATACTGCTGCTAAAAACAATACTTTCAAAGTGTCTTTTAGCTCTACTTTATAAGCTTGCACTTGTAAAAACCTGATAGAATACATTTTAAACTAATTATTTTTATTCAGAGATGACAGGGTGAGAGATAAAATGGAAAGATATTTCTTGGATGTAAGTTTTGAAGCTGAAAACACAAGTATAAGCTGATAAATATAAGATAATCGATGGTATGAGCTAGGTGCTGGGAGGCCATATCTCCACTCTCATAGCTCTGTCCCCACCACTTTTGTTTAACGGTAATTATGTTAGCTAAATCCATCAGAAAATTCAAGACTTAAATAACCTGATTTTCATCAACGAATAAACGTTGAAAATAAATTAAAGTACCTAATTAATAATGGCTGAATATTAATAGTTCACGTTTTAAGTAAGTGATTTAGGTTTGATATGTACATTAAGTAAGTTCAGTTTCTGTAAAGATTTTATTTACACTTATCAAAAGATGACTAGTAGATTTAACAAACCTTGCATGGATTTTAAAGATTTCTAACATTATTCGTTGCTTACTCATTAATCTCTCTTTTCATTTTATCTCAACAAAACCTTCATTGCTTACTCATTAATCGTTTATCTCACTTTTATATCTATGGCTGGTAAAAATCCAGAACTTTTATTTTTTTCTTCTGAACCTTAAATTTATGTTTGAATTTCTATATATATTTTTTTTTACTGACACTCAGATTCATATTATAGCTGCTTTCAATTGATTAAAGCTTGTGATGTAGGGGCTGGTCTAGTTAGTGTTGCCAGATGTGGGTGTACATGGAAGCTTTGAACCTACTCTGCTTGAGAGAGATGGCTGGCAACCATGAATCACTATCATTGCCAACACTCTGCTCTTGTCTAATATTTCACACTTATCCAACTTAATTATGTAATCTGATTTTGTCAAAGATCTTTTGTTCATACGTCAAGAACACTTGTCTTTGTTAATAATACTTGTATTTGCTTTGAAAAGTAGCTAATGAATTAAAACGTATTCTAAAAATTCAGTACATATGTATGATTTTGGATCCACAAAGAAAGTGGTTACATTTTTTAATTCGCAAATACCGAAAATGTGAATAACAGAACTGTGAATAAGTAGCTTTGACTTTCTTGCAAATACACTCGTAATTGTTTTCCATTATCCTAATTTAGTTTTCAATGGACCTTCACTTATTTTTTTAATATGGATTTTACTTATAGAATATACTAGAATATTCTAAACAATGTAATATTAAACAAAAACAGATCACCAATTTGCTTCACGACTGGCACTAAAGTTGTGGGTTTAGTCCCCCGAAAGGACTTTTATTTAAAATATAATCAAACATTGGGAAGTATGATTTCATTATTAGTTTTTTCTTCATACTATGGTTGACAAAATGATGACCATGAGACCTATATTATTAACATTATTTTATTGCTCTACCAAAGTATAAACTATCAAAGAAAAATCTTTATAACTTAATTTGCACAAAAACAATAAATGAAGTACATTCTATAGCATGAGAAAATTTTCTAAATATTTAATATCATCAGAAGAAGTCAAGAATAGCCTACTGTTTATATTTATTACTGTCAATTCCTGATTATCTGTGATACAGCTTATCTCATGTGACATAAATAATAAAATATTTTTTTAAAATGCTACATCCTACAGAATTTATAAACTCAGCTAATGTACAAATCAATGCAGTTTTTTACTGAAAAATATGACTATATATGATTCTCATAAGTGTCCTGGGTAAGGGTGTAATAGTGGCAAAAAAGAAAGTTTACATGTCTAACTTGCTTAAATAATATATATGTATATATATATATATAAATATGCCACCATCCTTTATTCTTCCACAAGAATCAAGGATTTGTTGATGATCATTATTAAGTCTTGCATGATCGTAAAGAGACATGTCCAAATGTTTTTTGTAAGTAGGTTTGGCAGAGGCACTCTTATTTCAAATTGCGATTGTAGGTTTTATTATTTGAATGAATGACACTTATGCTTTTAGTCTCTGGATTGCATCATTAGCATTTTCAAGTTCAATTTTAGCAATATTCACTGCCTCTATACAAAATAAATGAAGAACTAGATGCACATTTTCAATCTGGAGAATTACAAGCTGTCATGATTAGAGCAAAAGGATGGGAAAGCTCCGGGTTGAGCAGGGTACCAAGTGAATTTTATAAAAACAGTCCCGTGTCATTTCAAGAAAGTTTATTAAATGTATTCAATCATATACATCAAACTGGTGATGTGCCAGAGAGTTATTCAATGTCAATTTTATTTTCTATTTTTAAGAAGGGTAACAAAAATATCGTGAACAATTTTAAAGGAATATCTATCACAGATGCAGACTATAAACTGTTTTCAGGATTGTTGTTAAATAGGCTACAGAACTGGGTCCAAAAAAACAATATATTAAATGAATTTCAGGCAGATTTTCGACCCAGATACTCAACTATTGACAATTTATTTAATATATATAATATAATTAAAATGAAAATCGCTCCAAAGAGAAGAAAACTGTTTAAATTTTTTGTTGATTTTAGCTCTGTATTTGATTCACCGGTGAGAAGTACGCTCTTTTATAAACTATATGCAATGGGAGTGTCAACAAAATTTTTCGAGATCCTAAGCAAGATGTACAACTGTACTGAAGCTTCGGTTTGGACTCCGGAAAGATTAACTGGGTCTTTGAAACAACAATAGGTCTCAGGCAGGAGTGTGTTTTGTCGCCGTTCTTGTTTTTATTATTTATAAATGACCTTCCAGAATTCCTAGGTGGGGGTATTATTGTATGTGGTGTTAAAATAAATTGCCTGCTTTATGCGGATAATTTCTTAATTGCTGATGATTCATACACATTACAAATTATGATAAATAGGTTAGAAAAGTATTGCAATATGTGGAATCTCGATGTGAATCTCAAAAAATCAAAAATAATGATTCATAAAAAAGGTGGGAAACTGGCCAGAAATAAAAAATGGTATTTTAGGGGAAAATAAATTGAAATCATTAAGTATTTAGGTATAGGCTTCACCCATCAATTATCGTTAAATAAATATTTTAATGAATAAATAAAAATATGAAGGTAGTGAAATTTGGTTAATACTATTTAATACTATTTGGAACCACCTTATAAGGAACCAGAATATATCTATAAATATAAAATTTAAAGTTTTTGTATCAGTGGCAAGAGCTATAGTTGGTTATGGATCAGAATTATGGGGTTATGATGAAATACGGGAGATCGAAGTTTTTTGCAAAGAAACTGTTCTTACTACCGAAGAACTGTTCAGATTACATATTGTATCTGGAAACACAGTTAAAAACCTTTATTCTATCATACACTATCTTCACACTTGAACTATATTTGCAAAGTCATAAAAATGCCATTATTACGACTACCAAAAATTTTGGCCTATGGTATGATTAACAAAAAATTATCATGGGCATAGAAAGCTAATCTCTTGGGGCCCGCAGACTAAATGCAGATGTTGTTAATGAATTAATTTAAAAAAACAGTTATTTATTTATTGATAGATTAATTAGAGATTTGAAAAATGAGTGGGATATTGGTATTACTAATAAAGCTAAAGGTGCTAAAGTTCATTTACTGTACAAAGATTTAAATCAGAACTTACCAAAACTGTATTTAACCCAAAATTGGTCTACACATTTTATAAGCACAATTATAAAAGTAAGAGGGGAATTACTTGAATTAAATAACAGAATAGATAGAATCGGCAGCCATATTTGTTCTCTGTGCAACTTAAACGAAATAGAAAATATTTATCACTTCATTGCAGTATGCCCAGTTCTGAGGGAATTTTGAATAAAATACTTTGGAAAGTAATAATAAAATACTCTAACTTATAATGAGTTCCTTAATATGATAAATGAAGATGATCTGAATGCAATCTACATGTTTGCAAACATAGCACTAAGCTATAGAGCATCCCTGAAAAAAGGAATTTAATGATTGAATAATATTATGGCAATCTGTAAAATATATGGACATGATAAGTGTGTATGATATTAATATGATTGATATGGCACGATAATTTTCATAAATGTATACTGAACTGTTTTTACTAGCAAGAGCAACAGGTGCAGCTAATTCCAAGCAGACGGACAATGTCCATGCTTATTTATTGTATATATAATCAAGATAATTCTGTAATTTAAATTTGAGAAAATATATACATTCCTTCATTCTTAATTTTATGTTTAGAATTAATTCTTCATTTACTTTTTTTGTTCATAAATGATGTTAACTTGTAAATTTTACTATTAACATAAAATAATAAAAAAAATTCAGAATAAGAAACTGTTTTTTCTTATTCTTTTATATTATAATATTTCATGATTTTATGTTTACTTCTCTTACTGAATGATTTGACTTTTTATTAGTTGTATATGAAATCTTATTTTGTTTCAGTGCAAGTTTGTTGACACGGAACTTAGCAGACTTAGTTAAAAAAGAACATTTTATTTTAGACTCTGAATATCTGACGACATTATTAGTTGTTGTTCCAAAGTGAGTATAATATGTTCAGAATATTGTTATTTTAGATAGATAAATAGATAGAAAGTAAACTTTATTCTGGGAAAAGGTCCCTTATGAATAACAGATATGAACAAAAAAATAAAAACTACATCTGGCCAAAAATTACATTAATCAATATTAAAGAATATATAGAGTATCTTCAGTGAAATTAAATTAAAACAAGGAAAAATAAAATAAAATTTTGAGAAAAAACGAAATAAAAAAAAAAACATTATTTAAATGAAGGTAAAAAAAATAAAATAAGCATGGGTTGATTTTTAAAATTAAAACTCAATAAATTTTATCAACCATTCACCGCAGTCAATTTTATTACTATGTGTTGATCGATTATTATGAATTTGAATTGATTATAACTTGAATGTAGCTTATTTTCGCATTAATGGCCTTGTTTTTATCACTACATGCCTATGTGTAGATGATTTATAAATTTATTTCTTTTCTCCAAAATTTGCTATTCTCAGAAAAAAGTCATGTATCTTAACCAGGTATGTTATTGCACTGCTGATGATAAGATCAATTTAAAGCAGATAAAGCAAAAATAGTAGTAATAGGTTTTTATCATTTCCTAAAAATCACTCCCTTTATTATTTCTGTTGGAAGTCACGGAATGATTATTAAAGTAAAATTCTTTTAAAATCATGCAGTGATCACTGCCCTCCCTTTTCCATTTTATCAACTACTACCTTCATCCCCTCATTTTTTTTTTAACTTACAGGCTCCCAACTCACTGTATACTTGGCTTCCCATGTGAGTGTGCTCTTTTTTTGCTCTATTAAGAGTATTATCTCTCTCATTTTTTCAGTTCTAGGCAGAATTAGTTGTTTCATCTATTCTACTTTTACCAATATTTTTTCGTACCTTTCAGGTAAATCCATCCTTCTTGGCCTTCATCGTTTGTCGTTTTTTATTGAATTTATTTAATCCTGCATGCTGAAGTGCAGCATTTAATTTATGATGTCCTATCTCATCTTCATAAATTAAATTTCTGCATCCCAAGCTCTACTATCAAACAAACCAAATGAAGAATGGTGTCAAAAATGAGGAGAGAGAGAGAGAAACACACACTATATTGGATTGTTACAGACACAGCATACTTATGAATCTGTTACATCAATATTTTAAAACTAATACATAAATGTACCATAATATTTCAATGTATTCAAATATAGTAATCATAAGTATTTTTTTATCATTTCTTTTTTTAAAAAAATTTTGTTTACATTAAATTTATTTTAGTTTTTTTTTTTTAATTTCTCTTTTTTATACATTTTTCTTCTATTTTGTTTTCTTTTTTTAAATTTAATCGTACTCTTTACCTTAATCGTCAACTAGTATGCTGAAATATTTAAAATTATATTTAATAATAACAATACAAAAATAAATAGAAGATAATCTAATATTACACACACACCTAAATAAATATATGAAATAAAGGATTAAATAGTTAAAAAGTGATAATATATACATGCCCTCCCATTGAACAATCTCTCACCTTATTCACCATCATGCGCATGGTAGTGGATGATTCCCACAGAATTGAAGACTATATTTTCAGCTAACCTTGATATGACCAAGGCCCTCCATGAAACTCCTTGTTGAGCTAGCTATTGTTCTGCGAGCTCCGAATCAGAGGCCTCTCATGTTGAAGTCTCTCTCTCTAAAACTTTTGCATAACTTTTCATTAAGCAAAGAGATGTATTTGCCATATATTTCCTTATCAGCTTACCTGCCTGATCGAGGTCATTGGTTTTGTATTTTACGGTAGGATCCAGAATGATCGCTGACTTTCCTATTTTATAGAAGGCTACAATGTCAGCATAATGCTTGGATCCATCCTTACCTATCCAATAGACTTCCTCGAAACAGGCAAAATTTCTCAAAGGAGTCTCATCAATTTGTGTTTTACTTGTTTTTGTTTTTAAGTTGTTGGGGAATTTCCCCAGCACATTTGCTGTTGTTATATAGTTCAGATATCATATTTACATATTGTATTTTTAATACTGTTGTGAATTTCAATGCATAGAAACAAATATTTTTTTTAGATCAAACTTCAATGAGTGGAATACCAGCTATGAAAAACTTACTAATATGATAGTTCCCCGTTCAAGTCAACTTGTTTATCAGGATTCTGATTTTGGTTTGTTCACTGTCTCATTATTTAAGAAGGTTGTAAATGATTTTAAATTAATGGCTAGAGAAAAGAAGTGAGTAACTCTTAACTTTTATCATTTATTTATTTGAGATGCCAAACCTTTTAAATGATTTTATTTAAATGTGATACAATAGATTTGTTGTACGTGATTTTATTTATAATGAAGAGGAACTAGCTGCTGGAAAAAATGAAATTACAAAATTGGTGACTGACAAGAAGAAGCAATTTGTAAGTTTTTTTTTTCAATATTGTGTCATTTAATTTTCAAAACTTGATGAACTTATTTAATAGAATTTATTTTATTTTTTTAACATGTTGACTACTGACTACAGGATAACTCTTAGTTTCTGTTCTTGCCCAGGACACGAACTATGATTCACCTTGTAGTTTGTTCAATTCTCATATTTTTGTAGCTACATTGAAATTTCTAGTACATTCATCACAACTTTGATATCCAATATTAATTGACGTGTATGGCACTGAATGGTAGAGATGCCATGAATGGCTTTAGGATAAGTTAATAAAACATTCAATTATATCTGAGCAAATTTAAATAAATAGTATAAGGGAAGAGAACACAAAATCAAGTTTGTCTTACATAAACAGAAATTTAAATTATTATATATGCTTGTCTATTCATGAGACAAGCCTTCAAATGTGGTTATTCTTAATTTATTTTATTTTTGAAAACAAAACATTCTATATGCTTTTTGATGATTAATGTGTACTAAATTTGGCATTTTTAATAATACATTATGATTAAATTAAATTGGCTTTTTAGACTGAAATCCTGGAAACTATCTTGGCAATTAAAATATAAATTTCTGCTTGTGTAACGGTGATTATTATTTACTGTTAATATCATTTTAGTTAAAACAAGTTCGTGTACATTCAATTATCACATCCAATATTAATTGGTCTGCATGCCTCTGAACAGCAGAGATGCCTAGGAAGGCCTCAGGAAAAGTTAATAAAACATTCAAGTATTGTTGAGCATTCTTGATTATAGTTAATTGAGAAATATTATTGTTACAATTATTTTATATTGTTATTATAATATAGCCTAACATAATATTTGTATTCTTAGGGACCTCTAGTTCGTTGGCTGAAGGTCAATTTTAGCGAATGTTTTTGTGCTTGGATACATGTAAAAGCATTGAGAGTTTTTGTTGAATCTGTTTTGAGGTTAGTATGCAATACATCTATTATTTTATAAAATCTTAACTATTCTACTCAAATAACATCTCTTCTATATATGTAATGTTTCTCTTCTGCAATAATTTTTATATAAAGAGGTGCAGTTAGTTATTTGTTAATTATTGAAGTGATAAGGTCTAGTGAAAGATTTATTTCTTGAATACTACATTATTTTATTTTTTCTGAAGTTTTGGTACTATTACAAAGGAAGAATACAATTGTCATAATTATTGTGTTTATTTATTTGGGGTTCATTGCCCTTATTTATATCAATTAGGGATGGAAGGAGGGTTATTCTATAGGTTTCCAAGCTTTTCTAGCCAGAGTGAGAAAGCAACATTTATTCTAGGGATCAAATAAGTTTCAACCCACCCAATCTGGATTCAAACTGCTGCTATTTTGCCCCAAGAATGCTAAGGTGAAGTCTTAAAACACCTAGTATTATAGCCTAAAAATTATTGTGAAAACCAATGAGAAAAATGTTGAAATTAATGAAATTATTTATGTAACCATAATTTGTTAAGAGAACATGGTAGTTCAGTATGTTAGGATTTAAAGTCTGGGCACAATTTCGGCCGAAGCTGATAATTTAATCATTCTGTTATATTATCCATGGAGTCGACTCTGCGTTCCTAGAGCCTATCCAGCCTCTATAAAGTATGTTCCTGGCAGCTGGGCTCCGATTCTGACCACTTCATCTCCTAATTTAACTTTTGGTCAAGGAGCAGTCATGTTTAATTACTGAATCCAAGGATCTTCATCAATATATTCATTGATATGACATATTGTGAAACTAATATGATTAGGTTCCCTGAATACCATTGTTTATTGGTTTAATTCTGAAATAAAATGCTTGGAAGTATTAATTATATATTTTTTTCATCTTTTCAATAGTGTTATTAATCTTCTTTATTTATTTATTTTTTCCATTCCTTAAACACCATTTAAATAAAATTACGTTTGTTTCAAGATTATGTTTAAATTAATTAATGAACGTATGGTAAGAATGTTTATATGAATGTTAAATGTTGCTGTTTCAGATATGGTTTACCTGTTAACTTCCAGGCTATGTTGATCCATCCTCACAAAAAGTCCGTTAAACGTTTGAGAGATTTACTGAACCAACTATATGCACCATTGGACAGTAGTGCTCAACAGCAAGGAAATCAAGGTGGTGGTAATGATGTAAGTTGTAAGATTTTTTTATTTTATTTCAGTTTAAATTATTCTAATCATAATAAATTTCATTTTTAGTTTAACCTATTCTGACAAATAATAACGTGCACAAGACTTACATTAAGTTGTACAACCTAATTAAAAAATTATAATTTGAAAAACTAAATTTACAATTTTTTATCTGTTCATAAATAGTGGCAAGCTTAATTTAAAGAAAATGATCAAGTGTTTAAATGGAAAAAAATATATAATTAATTATCTATTGGGAGTATTTATTGTCAAAGTTTTTCTATTTTACTGAGCTATTTAAATCTACAATTTCCAACTATCTTCCTTGAATACTATTAGCAAACAATTTTTACTTTTTAAAAAAAACAGTAGTAATACATTGAGACCATTTCCTTCTTGATGAATACTTTCGCATAGTGTGTTAACATGATTTTTTTAAGGATGAAAGCATAATTATGTCACACCATCTTTCATTCCTCCTCTCTCCCAATTATAGTCAACTAATGTATAACAGTATTTCAGGTAATATATTTTGAGTAAATGTTATTATCTGATAACGTTAACTAATTTTATTTGCTGTTTTTATTTAATAAAAAAAGCACAAGCGAATAATTTCTCTCAAAATTAACTACCTTCTTAACTCTGCTACCCAGGGCAAATGCCCTCTTTGCTCTCCTAGTTTCAGACCTGCTTTGGGGTGTATAACTAGGTAGTCAATCAATTCTTTATGAGGCTTAGATTTTAATTTTGCCACATCTCATATGTCTTTTAAAGATATTTTAAGTGAAATAATGAGGAGTGTTAGATGGTTTAGTGGAACCCCAAAGCTCAATCACTTATGTCCATGTTGGGTTGATTTATTTTCATTTGAATGTGGTTCTTGTGATAAATTGGAAGTTTAGAGGTTTGGTTTATTAAACTTTAAATTTTCAAATTTTTTTCATTGCAGTTTTGTGTTCACTAACCTAGTTAGTGACTTGTTCAGATAAACACGTCATAGGTCTGTTCAACTGGATTAAATGAAATATAATTAAGGGTATTTTAAATGGGAAAGGATGTCACAGGTTAACAATAAGAGTATACATCTTTTGATGTTTAAATATACTCAACTACATTTTTAAAATTAAAAAAACAAAACATATAAAATGATGTATGGTGTTTATGGAGGTTTGTGTATTAATTAATTAGAATGGAAACATTTGCAATGTAAACTAAATATAAACAAGTTCTCTCTTTAACTACTATGATTTTATCTTAATTTTTTAAGATTTATGTATTTTTATTTTGTTCTTGTATGTTCGCAGAGTGTGGACATTCCTGGTTTAGGATTCGGCCAATCAGATTATTATCCATATGTATATTATAAAATAAATATTGATATGTTAGACACAAAGGCTTAACAGAAGTACTCATGGATTTTGGTTTTAATATTCATTGATAATACAAATGCTTAGTTAGCAATAGAAAATATACATTTCAAGGGAAAAATTAAGCTACATAGTTACTTACATTTTTATCTTATGTGTATGTACATATATATATATCCATAAATATGTATTACACACATTTATAAAACTTAATGTGTTAACGTAAAGTAGTTAGGTGTATGTTCTAACTATAAACCCACATGATTAATGAAAACAAGTAATTCGCTGACTTATTGTTTAGGAGGTTATATATATATATTTTTTTTTTTTAATTGCATTGGGAAAATTCTCATTAAAACATTGTTTATAACTAGAAGCTGGAATCTTCTTTCATATTTTAATTATTTTTTGAAATTATTATTTAGAAACATAATTGTTATGTATATATACATATATCATATTTTTGGAATGATTTTTTTTTTTTTTTTTTTGTTTAAAAGATATGGTTTTATTCATTAAAGGTTTTTCATATAATTTGAAAATAGAACTTGTAGCATTGAGAGGCTTTTCATTTTTAAATATTAGATTTTTTTTCCGAAGTATTTATATCTATTTCTTTTTAAGCATTACTTTTTTCTCATTTCTTACAGTTTACATCCTACTAGTAAAAACAGAATTATTTGTATACTTTTTGCATCATCCATTACTTATATTACTTGCAATAGATACTTAGCATGAAGTATAATTATAATTTTGTTTTTATATCTTCTTTTTATAAATGTTGCAACTAAATTCAAGAATCCAGAGGGTGATCATCGAGAAAATTGATTAATTTATATTTTGATTATCTTTATATCTGTTCTATTTTACCAACAGTTCAGATTTGTTCAAATAGTTTATGAGAAATAACTTTGTTATTAAATATTGTATAAGTAGTATTTTTGTGATTTTAAATTAAATTAAATTGTAATCTTATTTACCAGCACCCATTATATGATTTGTTATTGCTGTTTTAATTAGCAATAGTTTTGATTGATGTACATCACTTATTTCATTGTCAAAACAGAAAAACATCTTTTTAATTTTTCACATTTCTGTTCAAAGTATTCTGCATAAGTTTTTTCTTACTAATAATCATTAGTAATTTGTTATCCTCTTAACACTTGTTTTAGTTTCATTCTACATTTCATTTAGATAATTTTATTTATTAGTCTAGACATTTTATTTGGAAAATTATTAATCAGTTTTCAAGTAAAATTGTTTTATTGCATATTTATTGTTAAGTTTTACTAGTTACTATTTTATTTGAATATTTATTTTAAAGCAGATTATGGAATAATGCACTGTAAATGTGTTTATTTCATTTCTAGTATGAGTTAATGTTAAACTATATTGAAATTAGTGTTAAAACTATAATAATAGGTGGGAAAGGAATCAATATCTTAAAAGAACAAAACATATAATGTATATAATTTATCATTGATGTATGTAACAATATATATTTATATAGGTATAGTTTTGTGTAAAAAGTGAGATTATGTCCATCATTGCTCCTTAACAAATTATCCTTTTTCTCTGAAAATCATATTTACATTCCTGTTTATAGTTTTCAAAAATAATCTACTGGATTCATACAAACTGTTATCAAAGGTAGTTATTAGTATTGCATAGGAAACAGCATTTTTAATTGAATGTATTTTATTTAAATTTCAATGTTTAATATTCAAAGTGTCATCTGTGTTTTAAGAATTAAGTTGGTTTATAGGTTAAAAAAATAAAATCTGTATTAATTATAAGCAATTAAAGTGCATTCCACTAGAAAAAGAAATCAGTCTATTTTAAAAACATAATAAGTATTTTATTGTTCAGATTTTATATTAATGTTGTAAGCAGTGTGTAATAAAATTGTCATAATTTACTGCTTATGAATTATATTTTGTAAATTATTGCAGTATCATTTATATTTGAAAAAATATTTGAATTGTATTACATTGTGAGTGTCAGTGGTTGAGAAACATTTTATTGTAAACATTTCTGTATATGTTAATTGTAAATAAAATTCTTATGAATTCCAATATTCTGTAGATATATGGGTATGAGTGCAGGAAATAATGTTTTAACATGTTCCTGGTTGACACAATATTATCAAGATGTTATTGCTGTCAGGTTTTAGGTGTGTTAGTTGATTTAAGATTCATTGAGTTCATTTGTTTAAAAAAAAATATATTTGATCTGTAAAGTAAAATATGTATAAATTAATTTTCATTCAAAAATAAAACTTTGTTGCTGTTTTGAAGTTTTTAACTTTTTTATGAATATCATTGTAAACTTGTTCTAAAATAACAATAGATTGACATTTATGCTTGAACATAATTTTTAAAGGATATTAAATTTTCAGAGAGATTTATAATTTTCATTTTATATTTTATCACAAATGAATAATAATTGACACCCCCCTTCTTTTTATCAGCTAAGCATCAATCATTCTGAAGGGGGAAATAATTCCTTAATGGTGCATTTCAAGGTAGATTTATTGAGTGAAATGAGAATGCTGATCCTACTGATAATCAAAAGTTTATTTTGTTTTATCAAAGAAGAGTTTAATTAAAAATGCTAAAATTAAATTGATTTGTTGAAAAAAAAATTTATAATGACTGCGTCCTGAATATTTATCACCCATGATATGTAGAACAGTCGACTAGCTTCCTTCAATAATTCATAAAACTGAACTTTTACTAATAAAACTTGAGATCGTTACAGACTCTTGGTAAAAATAACACAATGTTGAATAAAAAGAAAAGATAATTTTATTATTTTAAATTACAAATTCTGGATAATTTTTATAAAAAGTTCTTATAAAAGATAAAAGCAATGAAAATTTTGAATACTACATCTTTATAAAAAAAAATATTTTGTGAACTTTCAAAATTTAAGGAGAAAATTGAAAAAAAACCATCATATTTTTCAGATTTCAGTGCTATCACCTTTTATTCACTTTTACGAAACTTCTTCACATCATTTTTCACTTTAGTTCAAAGAAAGAATTTATGCAATATTTAATAAAACATGGTCAGTTCACGTCAAAGTCATATTGGTGCGTTCACATTTTACGCATTCTGTGAATTCTAACGATTTTGACAACTGCTAATTCACTATCTTTGCATGGGAGGAAGCTCGGAAAAAAGTTTTTGTTACATGTATGGTTAATAAGATTTCACCATATTTTTGGATTATTACTGTGTTTTTCAAAGAATCTTGAGTTGAAGTAACACTCGAGTGGTAAAAGCTGTTCATTCCATTCCAGTTTTGATCTTTTACCAATACCATTGGAAAATCTTGAGATTTACTAGTACATTTTAAGGTTTATATTCCAAGTCTTTGATATGGATTTCTGAATATTATATAGTAACCAAATATTTGGTATTCCTGTAATTCCATCGACTTTTGTAGAGTTTACAATTGGATTAATAGTTTCTGTTCATTTTATGAATTTAATTTATCGTAATAATTTTTTTTTGTAAGATATTCATAAATGATTGAAAAATCTTTTTCCCTGAGGTCAGCATCACAGATTTTTTTGTATATTTCCAATGTTTTGTTTCCGATATCGAGAGTATGATTTAGTTTTTTGGCTGTTCTTTCTGCTATCTCAAGATCTTTTAGGAGCATTTGAGAAGTGAACCCTGCCTGAAAAGATATGATCAGCTTTAATTTTTTTCTTAGAATATTATCATTGTTAAATTTATATAATTTAAAAATGATCAGTTTTGCACAGGTTTATTATAAAATAAGTTGAGATTCAATTTAAGTTCGGTAATAAAATTAGGTGATTTGATATCATGTTACCTAAAAGTACAGGTGTTTTCACCAAAAATTACTGCAATAAATGATTGCAAAGCTTTAATTTCTTTTTTTTTTTTTTCGTTACCTAGAATGCATTATGATACATATAAAGTCATAAATACACTTCTCATTTAAAATTAAAAAAAGGAAAGATAAAAATAATGATTTTTCAAATATTTGTCATTTAAGTGATAATTTAACTGAGTTTTTATTTATTAACCATTTGCACTGGCCACTTTTTCAGAAGTTACCTTCCAGCAACTGGACACCCAGTGGTCCCACACTGAGTTTTTTTATCATAATTCTATGACTCAGTTATTTTTAATCAGATTTCCTTGCTTCTTCGTTAGCATCACCACTAAATATTCTCCAATATCTGTGCAATGAATATAAATATTATCAGGAATAATATATGAAAATACACAATATATATATATATATATATATATATATATATATATATACACACATTTACGTCAAATAAGATATTATAGGTTGCAGTTTAAAATTGCAGGATTATTATGCCCGTTATTGATATTATAACTTATGTTTTTTTTTATCTTAATAAGTTTGATTAATTTCAAATTTGATTCATTCATTGAAAAAATAATTTCTCGAAAACTGATAATTTTTTATTTTGATAATATTGTAAATTTCAGAAAATGCAGTAAATGTTAGACTTTTCGCGAACAAAATAATATTTTCATTTTTTTTTTTTTTTTAATATTGTACATAAAACAAGATTCAGGACTTCAGTATCTTCTTCCTTTCTAACTTGTATCTTCACTGCAATTTTTTTCAAATCAACGTCCCCCATTGCTCTGGTCAAGGACACCTTCCACTTCTTATTTAATAATTTCACGAGTTGCTTCAGCGGCTGTGAAATATTTTTTTCCATTAATGCCTTAAAATTACGAGAATTTCGTAGGACACTGTCATGTTTGTTCTTTGAAATAAATAATTAAACAGAGGCTTCTTTTGAAGAAGTCGAATGAGATTAAACAAGCTTAGAAAATGCCCTAAAGGGATTATTATGTATCGGTAAGTATTAAATAGGATTAAAATATTTACACTCCTTTGAAATCTTGAATTTGATAGAACGGTAATTTTTTTTATTAACCCTATTACTTTCAGTTACAATATTCAATTATCATTTATTCAGAATAAATGAAGAATGTTTAGTGTGAATGTCCAATTTGTTTTTTAATACAAAGCATAAATAAAAATTACTTATTTAATACAATTTACTTTTGAATTAAAATAATAATAATATAAGTGCGGGTTGTTTAGTTACTTTTTCAAAATAAATTTGTTTCTCACCTTCCGGAGGGAGCCCCCCACATCTTTCCCCTTGATCTGCTAGTGGAGAGCACTCGGTTGTACTGTTTACGGTACCCACGTTACCAGCCCTTATTTCTCCTTTAGTTAATTATCAAATCCTTTTATACTTTACATGCTGCCATATTTTAAAATTAGTTTCAATGTGAAATGGTTAATTATTTAAAAAACAACAAGCATTTTAGAGGACGATATTTTCTATCTCTTCTAGAACATGAATTGGCATTTCGTTTCAAGATTATAATTAAAAAAACACGATTCATCAATCTGCAATGACAGGAAAAAGATTTGCCTATAGTCCGTGAAATTTATAAATTTATGCGGGGGAGCAGCCTGGAAGAGAGTAGCATTGGAGAGGAAAGAGTGGAAACGGATGGGACAGGTTCATTACCTAGTGTGGTTGTAAGATAGCTAGAAAAAAAAAAGAAGAAAGAAAATCGAACTCAAAACCGAACTAAAATGTTGATTTTGTACATGAATGTACAAATGAAGTATGTAAGTAATGAAGTATAAATCAAAATGAAAAGCTTTTATATATATCTATTTTTTATCCAATTTTTTTGCATTGTATGTACAAATAAAGGTTATTATTATTATTTGGCCTGTATAACCACGTTATTCTGACATTTTGTGGGTGGAGGATACGCCAAACGGACCAATATTTTTGTAAGCCACATTTTTTCGACTTTGTGATCATATTATCTTACGATTTGAGTAGAAAGATAATGGTTATTCACGAGTTAATTTTGCCGATCTCCAGATTGATAACGCCCCAATTCCGAGAATTTTCGTAAATAAAATATTTGTTGGTTAAGATGAATTGAAGCTATTTACGAAGTTTTTGGCGGATGTTCATAATATGATAAAAAGGGGTTTGTACCTCGGACTAGTATGTTAAAGCTCTGAAAGAGATCCTGCACTCATCCTGAAATAGCGGACAAAAGACTTCCAGCACTGTTTTAGACCATAGAAGATTTGTTAGGAGCGTTGCAGCGATGGAGGGGTGTATATTGAAGGTAATATGCATTAATAAATATTTATGCGGTGATAGCCTAAATTAATATGCATGTAATCAAAATCAAATATTTTACAGCAGCAGTCTTGTTATTTAATCCTCACATATCGTATTATACTTCATATCATATTTTTGATGGAATGTTATCATACTTTTTAATGCATATTTATGACACATTTCAATTGTTTTTATTGCATATATATGCCTACAATTCAAATCCTCCATTTAATCCCGTCACACCAGATCCCGTACCTCCGACCTCTATCCTCCTCCTCACCGAACAGCTGCTTTTGACAAATCCTTTGTAATTCAAGCCGTCTCCTTTTGGAATTCTGTCCCTTCCGTTTTCCAACATGCACAATCAGTTTCCTCATTTAAATCTCTTCTTTTTAAGCATCTACTCCTTTCTCAACCCGACTGATCACGGAATGTACATAAGAGAACTTTTTATATTCTCATAGGAACTATTTTGTTTACTTATATTATTTTATTTGGCTATGTTTATTATATATATATATATATATATATATATATATATATATATATATATATATATATATATATATATATATGTGTGTTTTTTTTCTTTCTATACTTTTATTTTAATTATATATTACATTGTAAATATTTAATTCGATGTGTGGCCACACAGGCATTTTTTTTTTCTGTATTCATAACTTGTTCTAAAGGGACAACAGTCCCAGGATAATAAAAAATATTTTCATTTCATATAAACCCGTGGCTTAATTATAACGAATAAAAGTTATCTTATCCCATTAAAGTTTAAATATGAAAACATGAGACTCACCTCGTAACTTTTCGAGCTTGGGACGTTTTCCATAACATTCGGCACTGGGTTATAAGTATCTGTGACCCAACATCTTCCTGAACTGGTGTTGATGACGGATGTCAAAACTTTAAGGTCTATTCCAAGTTTTTTTCCAAAATGAAATGTTTCAGCTGCACCGTACATAGTTATACCGAGAAGTAAATTGTTGCACATTTTCGCAATTTGGCCACTTCCTAGTTCTCCACAGTGGATTATATTTTTACCCATGGCAGATAGTATCGGCTTCGCCTTGTCCACATCTTCTTCCTTCCCTCCAACCATGAACGTCAGCGTTCCATTTAATGCAGCCGCAACACCTAATTAAAGAGATTGCGTTGGAAAATATTATACAAATTAAATTAATTGCATTTCATTATTAATAATGTTCTTTGGATACTTTTTTTTTGTCAATACTACCAATGAATTATAAAATATTATTATTGGTAACCTATAAGGTATAGAATTCACATAGGTTACCAAAAAAAACTTTGCTATTAATAAATGTTTATTTAATTAATCTCGTTAATAACACATTTATTTACTTTTAACATAATGAAATATAGGTTCCATAACATTTTGTTAATATCGATTTCCCACAAAAAATGAATACATTTTTAAAAACGCGAAACTATTCTATAATAGGATCAGACACTAAAACATCAGACATTTAGTCAGAGTTCAACTGAAATTATTACATCAATAGTTGTTATAAATATTTTTTTTTTAAATTATTAGCGATGGTAGTGAAAGACTATGCGTGTCAAAAATAAAACAAGGGGATAGGAGAAATAATTTAAGACGGGGAGATTGATAGGTAAAATGAAGTTGAAATGTAGAAAAGATTTATACAATAGAAAGAATCCCCTCCTTTATAGTTCGGGAATTTGTTAAGATGAATCTGAATTTGAATGAATCAAGGTGTAATTATTCTGAAAAAAAATTTAGAAAAATTAAGACAATGTTTTTACCTCGACAATATTATTACTAGTCTTACATAGGAAGATGAAGTCAAACTTTTTATTGATGTAAGTACTGCTATTTTTGAAAGAACTGCATTCGAGCTTAGAGGGTGGGACTACAATAATCACAATCTCTTAGAATGTACTAATACTCCATTACTAGGAATCATATGGGATCGGAAAGCTGATACTATAAGAATCAAAATTCCTGAACTACCAGTAATAAAAAAATTGTCAAGAAGAACTCTTCTATCAGCCATTCAGAAAATATTTGACCCTATTGGAATTACATCACCTGCTAATACACTTAAACGACTAATTCAGAGGACTTGGTTAGGAGGACTGGAGGAGACTGGGATCATCAAGTGGATGAGGAAATACAGGAAGAATTTTTAAAAGGGTTGAATGAATGGCTCATTGTATGAAAAACATTGAAATTCTTCGATGGGCTGTAATTGGAAGGAAGAAAACGACGATTATACTACATACTTTCTGTGATGCCAAACAGCTCATGCCGCAACGTGTTTCCTACGATGCGAATACTTGTGGAAGGTGGTTGTCAGTCTATTCGAAGCAAAAGTGCGTGTTGCACCAGTTGGTAAATGTACGATCCCAAGACTGGAGCTATTGGCCGCTTTAATTGGGGCTAGACTAGCTTATAATATTATAAATGAGCTGGGAAAAATTCAGTGTTTTTACTGGAGTGATTCTTCTATAGTCTTAATCTGGATTAAGAGAAAAGAACCTTGGGGAGTCTTTGTTTGGAATCGAGTGCAGGAAATCAGGTCATTGAGCAAAGAAGAGGAGTGGCGTCATGTCCCTGGTAAGTTGAATCCTGCTGATTTACTGATTTTGAGATGTTGTCCATGCGAATTAGTCCTACCTAAATGGTGGGAGGGCACAGATTGGCTGAAATTATCCTATTTTGAATGGCCACTAAGTATTGATGTACCAGACGAGACTGAAGTAGCGAGAGAACGCAGGAAGGCGATTGATTGTCCTAGGGGCAACTTGAGCTCCGTGTAAGCCTCATGGACAAAAGAAATATGAAGAAAATACAACACCTATTCACAGATTTTGAAGGATGTTGAGTGGGTTTTACGATTCGCTGATAGGTGCAATAGACGAGGAGAAGTGAAAGATCTTCAAACCGTTACTGAGATGGAAGCTGCCGAGTTCAGGTTGCTACGATTGGTACAACTAGAATCATTTTCAGGAGAAGGAAATAAACGACTATCAAGATTAAAAACATTTGTTGATTCACTAGGTACAAAGACACTTACAACCAAACTATGGGCAAGACAAGATTCAGAAGACTTTCGAGCTCAGATTATTTTTCCTGGTGATTATCACCTTGTTGAAAAGTTGATTTTAGAGGAACATATACGTAACTGTCATCTCAAAGGACTAGGGCTATTGAACCATTTAAGGGGAAAACACTGGATAATATGAGGTAGACAAACTATCAGAACAGCCCTGAAGAAATGTGTTGTTTGTCAACGTTTTGACTCGCCACCTTTACCAGAAAATAGACTACGAGATGCGAAAGTTTTCCAAATTACTGGTACAGACTTTGCAGGTCCTCTACATTTAAGAAACGGAGAAAAGGTGAGGATCTAATTTGTATATTTACTTGTGCGGTCTATCGGGCGATATATCTGGAGCTCGTTTCGTCTTTATCGACTGAACAATTTATGACGAGTCTCAGAAGATTTATTGCACGCCGGGAGGCATCGAGCTTCATATACAGTGACAATGGAACAAATTTCCGATGAATGGATTCTCTAATAAAAATGGTTGATTGGAAAAAGATCACTGCTTGGAGCTCTGTTAAAAAAATAGAATGGCGTTCAACCCACCAGGTGCAGCTTGGTGGGAGGGGGGATTTTGAGAACTTTTAGATGGCCTGATTAAGATCTGATTGAGGAAGATATTAGGAAGATCATGTTTAATCGCTGAAGAACTGTATACACTAATCTGTGAATGCGAAAGTGTGGTTAATTCAAGACCAATCACATATGTATCTGATATTGTAACGGATCCTACCCCTTTCTCTTCAAAGATGTTTCTTCAAGAAATTGAAGAAAGTGGAGTTCGAGATATGGATCAAATTGAAAGTCTAAACTTGGTAGAAGATTAAGCAAAAAGAAGAATTACGCAAACGATTTACAGCTGCATATTTAGGAAGCCTCCTTTAATCTTCCAAGAAAAATAAAAAGACCCGTGAACCAGCTCTTGGAGAGGTAGTTCTTGTCGGGTATGATAATATAAAAAGAATCGATTGGCCTTTAGGAGAATAGAACGAATGATTCCTGGTCAAGATGGAAAATACAGATTAGTTACTGTTCGCACGGCTAATGGAAGAATCAACAGACCCATGCAGCGTATCTATCCTTTGGAGATTCTCAGTAGTACAATTGAGACAATTTCTGAATGCGAAGGTTCTACAGAAGAACGAATTCCGGACTTCAAAGAGAACAAAGAATTGAAAGAAAAGGGCGATCGCTTCATAAAAACACGATGAGGCAGAAATGTGCGAATGCCTAAATGGTTTCTTTGAATCCTTTTGTAGTCCACATCAGTTAGAGAGAATTTGAGTTTTACGTGCTGGTTATGTTTTGATAATTTGTTCGCAATTATTTCTAGAAATGTTTGTTGAGTAGTTATAAACTCCTCAAGGTGGGAGGGTATTCGGGAATTTGTTAAGATGAATTTGTTAACCATGAATGTTTGAATTTTTTACGTTTGAATACAATGTGAAATATATTATTTTTAATTGCAGGCAAAACAGCTGTTATAAAATGTTTTTTTAAAAACAGATGTTAATTATTATTAGTTAGAAAAATTGTTTGTGTTTATAAACTCTGTTTTGTAAAATTTTCTGAAATATAATTTTGTGTTTGTTTTTTTTTAAATTGCACTCAATCACTACTTTATTCAAGTTCAAATTATTATTCACTTTTTTGTATTACAAGAAATTTACAGTTTAAATATGAACTTCTTGCTAACACAAGACACAAGTAGAATATATTGCACGGATGCTCAATAGAATTGAGTTGCTAAACTAATGAGCATACTGATCAGTCAACAGATATTTAAAAACCAAACAAAGGAGATTTATGGGGGAACATTGAAATATATAGCTACTGTAATATGTTAAGAACGGTGTTCACGATCATGTAAGTGAAAACGAAAATTAATACATGTGGTAATGGAGGATTTCCAACGAGTCTAAAATATTAGTTTCACATATGGCCTGCATCAACCTGTACGGATTTTTTTTGGACGTAAAATAACCGACTAGGGTAAACGCACAAGTGATGGACATACTCGTAGCTAAGGATATTTTATTTTTTGCTAATGCCGCCGTAATTATTATAGTTACAAACTTCTCCGTTGGACATTTAAAATCTCTAAGATCTCTTTTTTTCTATTTAACACTATAAATTTAAAAAAATATTCAGTTTTGCAGGTATAATCTCCATTTAAAAAAAAAACACCTTTTTTCAATAGCGATGGACACCCCAAAATTCAATTGTTCTAGTGATGGGCAGAGGGTCGGTAACAGTAATAGACATACCTTACGAAAATTCTAAAATCTTTATTAAACTATAAAAACGATAATTAAAGTCATTTTAATTAATTAAATTGCTTATAATTGGCTTATGGAGTAAACATATATAAAAATTAATCATACATTTTTGAGATGCTTACAAAATAGGTAATATATTATTTTTAAAAAAATGAATACACTGCCATATTTCCAAATCACTTTTAATAATAGTATAATGGATAAATATACATTCAACAGTAAACAATTATACTTTCGAATTATTTGTTTATTATTTGGAAACTGGTAACTGACGTTACCATCGTTTCCGAAAACCTGTGGTTTAAGCAATTCATATAATATATTTTTGAAGTTTATAATACTTACTTATCGACTATTATAAACAAATACAATCTCCAGTCGATTACAACAGTTCATTTGATGAACCTTAATGTCTGTATCGCTCAATTTATCTATGGCTCTATAAACAACTTTTGACATTCCAAACAGACACTTCAGATTTTTAGTTTATTATTTTCAATAATGAATCATTCTATTTAATAAAGAAAACAAAAAGTTAATTTTATTACCCAATAATTATACACTTTTTGGTTAATTATATGCGTGTGTATATTTGATAGATAATGAAATTACCTAAATACCAAAACAAAATTATCAGACAACTGGAATTTGGTGCAGAGAAATAGTGTTTTAAATTTTTCAGGCAGAAAAGAAGGCAGTGGATCAGCTGATTGGATGGTTGTGCTCTCAACTGGTCTCTCAGTATTTGCCTATTTTTAAGTGGAAT